GATAAACTATACATCATGTATACCACATATAATAAACTGTACATCATGTATCACATATGATAAACTATACATCATGTATCACATATAATAAACTATACATCATGTATCACACATATAATAAACTATACATCATGTATCACATATGATAAACTATACATCATGTATCACATATGATAAACTATACATCATGTATCACACATATAATAAACTATACATCATGTATCACATATAATAAACTGTACATCATGTATCACACATATAATAAACTGTACATCATGTATCACATATAATAAACTATACATCATGTATCACACATATAATAAACTATACATCATGTATCACATATAATAAACTGTACATCATGTATCACACCATATAATAAACTATACATCATGTATCACATATGATAAAACTATACATCATGTATCACACATATAATAAACTATACATTCATGTATCACACATATAATAAACTATACTTCAATGTATCACACATATAATAAACTGTACAATCATGTTATCACATATGATAAACTATACATCATGTATCACACATATAATAAACTATACATCATGTATCACACATATAATAAACTATACATCATGTATCACACATATAATAAACTATACATCATGTATCACATATGATAAACTATACATCTTGTATCACATATGATAAACTATACATCATGTATCACATATGATAAACTATACATCCTGTAATACATATATAATAAACTATCACATATAATAAACTATACATCATGTATCACATATAATAAACTATACATCATGTATCACATATAATAAACTATCGCATATAATAAACTATACATCATGTATCACATATAATAAACTATACATCATGTATCACATATGATAAACTATACATCATGTATCACATATGATAAACTATACATCCTGTAATACATATATAATAAACTATCACATATAATAAACTATACATCATGTATCACATATAATAAACTATCGCATATAATAAACCATACATCATGTATCACATATGATAAACTATACATCATGTATCACATATAATAAACTATACATCATGTATCACACATATAATAAACTATACATCATGTATCACATATAATAAACTATGTATCATCACTTATATCAGACGTGTGATTAATGTCGACCAGTTACAGAGCTGCCTCTGTATATTTAGGTTCACGGAGGCCTTTGCGCCCCCCCACCCCACCCTCCCCCCCCTCCCTCGGGGTCACGACCTCTTTCAGTGAATACGGCCTGCTGGAGCTTTGCACAACGCACAAAGCGAGATCACAAACCTGCTCGTGAGCTGCTTTGTTGCACAGAAAAACGCTGAACTGTCCAAAGCCCCCCCTCCCCCCTAAATGCCCACAAAAAGTGTTGGCACTGCACTCTCACGTGCACGGAGCCTCTGCGCTCCTTGTGTTCCACGTGCACCATTTCTATCGCTGTGTTTCTATGTTGTTGTTGTTTTTTGTGCTCCGGATGCACTTGCAGTGTTGTGTGTTGAAGACGACACGAGTCCTCTGTGTGTGTGTGTGTGTGTTTGTTTGTGTTTAGCATATCAGAGGAATCCAGTGCCGCCGGTGCCCCGGCAAGCAGAACCGCTGTGAGGGTTCTAGCAGCCGGCGGCCCGCTCGGCCTCGCAGTATTTAAGCGGCGCGGTGGCGGCGGCGCAGAGCGGACATGAACATCTTTACTAAAGTCCCAGGATTCGCCCAACAAACCAGGTACGTGGGGAACCCTGCAGCCGGACCCCCCCCCCCCCTCCCAAACGCACACCCCCTCCCCCCCACCACCGGAGGGATGGACGCCTCCAACACCAGTTTCACAAAAAAACGCACACAAACTGTACAGTTTAGATGCAAGTGGATGCTTTTATTTTGAAAGACCGGAGTGGGATGACACTTGCTGTAACACAAGTTATGAGCTCTTGTAGCCTCCCCGGGGAGTTCCTGCTGTGTTTATTCATGGGGGGTTGTGTTCGGGGGGGTGTTTCTGTGTCCACAGCAAGCTGGGTTCTGTGCTCCAACGCGCCTTCTATGGGTCCAGTGGGAGGGTGAGTCAGCAACTACCATGTTCCCTGTGCTCTAACTTCCAACATGATACTCAAGTCCTGAGGATTTCTGTTTGTTTGTTATATTTTACTTAGTTCCTTTATTTACAGCCATAACTTGGTAAAAATGTAAAAATCATCACGTTTTTAGTGTGCATCACAGCACAGATAATGGAGGCAGGGGGAAAAGCTCCTAAAGGTAGTGTGTTGTTTTGTCTGATATGAATTAATATTGGTCTTTTTGTGTCATTGAGGAGTAAAATGGTGCCAGTTGAGCGACTTGAGCTTTACTCATTGTGGACTCATTAAATTAAATAAACATTCAAAGCAAGGGACGGACTTCATAATATCCAGAAATAACACTTCTGTTAGCAGGATCCAACAGACCGTTAAACACGTATTGTGACAAATTTATATTTCTTTAAACAGAAATGTTGCTTTTGATTTGCTTAAATATATCGGTTTGTTATTTTAAGCCCACCCTCAAGGTGTTTCCCTTTCCTTAATTCATATTGAATGTTTTTATGGTAATGAAAACTTCTTGCTACGCAATATTTTGCATTTTGGGACAATTTGACTTGTGTCACTTGTGTTTATGGTCGTTTGCAATCTGCCGCTTCACCACCAGATGGCGCCGGATCTCACGTACATAAATTGACCCTTTAATTTGTACTCAATTGTTTTAATCAACACAAACAATAGTTACTAGTTATGGAGTGCAATTGTACCTCAATGACACACCCAAGTTACCAGGAAGATAAATATTTAATCCGCATTACTACCTGTAAAAAAAAGTAATATTGCAGTTAGTTGTAGTTCTAACCGGCCCCTTGAATCACACATCATGACTCGGTGCGATAAACGACGTTTACCGGTGTGAAAACGTTGAAGCAAGACAAGAAAAAACGTGTTGCTGGAGTTCGAGGCCGTTTAATGAAAGCAGCTGATTGGTGACGTCAGCTCGCGTTGTCCTCAGGTGACCCTTTTCGAGCAGCGGAACTTCGCCGGCCGGCGGCTGGACCTGAGCTCCGACTGCTCCCGGATCAGCGACAAGAACTTCCCGGAGCGATGCAACTCCGTGCAGGTGGAGAGCGGAGCGTGAGTCCCCCCCGAGACCTTCAGCCACGCGTGCGGTTTAAGTGGCACTAAAATGCAACACGAATATCATTTAGAAAAGGACGTTGAACCCGGAGGTGACGACACTAAATTACGTCATCAGTAACTGGACGTGCATGACGTCTCTCCAGGTGGGTCGGCTACGAGCACGAGAACTTCCGCGGCCGCCAGTACCTGTGGGACATGAGCGAGCGCGGCGAGTACAACTGCTACGACAAGTGGTGCGCGCAGGTGGACCACGTGTCCTCCGTCAGGGCCGTGAAGCAGGTGAGGCACGCGCGGAAATGTTGGTTTGGACCGTTTGAGTTCTGCGTCGGATTTTTCCCCACTTGTTTCTCTTTAAATGAGTTTGTAGCCACAAAAAGGAATAAACACCAGTCACGCATTCAGAGGAAAATCTTGTCTTTAGAAAATATTTAGATTACGAAAATTAAAAATTCATTCCCCTCACTGGAGTCCTTTCCTTGCGTCCTCCAGGACAACAACCCGGGCAGAGCGCAGCTGTTTGAGCGAGCCGGCTTCTCCGGGAAGAAGATGGAGATCCAGGACGACATCCCCAACCTGATGAGCCGCTACAGCCTGAACAGAGTGGCCTCCATCCGGGTGCTGGGAGGAGCGTGAGTGAGACGTCTGGGTTTACGGGTAATATGTCCCGTCTTCTGGCTCCGAGTGACTCCTCCCGTCTGTGTGCAGGTGGGCCGTGTACCAGGAGCCCAACTACCGCGGCCCCCACTACATCCTGGAGAAGAGGGACTACAACAACTTCTCGGACTGGGGGAGCCAGAACAGCACCGTGGGCTCCATGCGGAGAGTCCGCTTCACCTGAAGCCGGCGCGCCGACCCGCCGGCCTCACGCACACAAACCACAAAACACTTATTTTAATAATAAACTGTTTACAAAAAGAGTTTGGGTGATTTGTTTTTATTGTATAACTGGTGGCACCAGCTGTAAACAATTATAAATACAAGGAGATTCACTTCATAAAACAGTGCACATGGTCATAGAATATTAAAACAACTGAATGAATAAAAGTTCACTACCGAAACAAAGCAGCAAAAAGTCAAGATGCTTTAAACAGTTTTCAGTGACGTAGATTCAGATAAAAAAAAAATGCAGCCAAGATGTGAACAGATTGTTAGAGTTTGAGGATTAAAAGAAAAACATTTCTTCCACAAGGTACAAAATATTAAAAACAAAGCGGAAGGAGGTCGACTTCTCAACTCTGGTTAAAGTGCACAAGAGTAAAATCAGAGGTTCCGCCAAACATCGCGAATTAAAAATAAATAAACAGAAAGAAACAAAGCCGGGGTCCTAAACGTCCCCGTTGGATCAGAGATCAAGTGCCGGTTGGACTTGGGCGGCGGCCTCAGAGGTCGGCGAGCAGCGCGGAGGCCAACGCCGTCACGGTGGACGAGCTCAGCTGAGGCAGCAGGCTGACCTTCATCAGCTGGCTGCTCGAGTACTTCCTCTTCACCGCCTGCAGGGGGCGAAGCCCACGAACGCGTTCAGGTTCCAGAGACACAATCGCAAGCCAGCCAGTTTGTTTTACTCACCTGGAACTTGCTCCTCCCATCGTTCACCATGACGAGGTTCTTGGCCACGTGCTGCACGATGGGCTTCAGGTGGGCGTCGTCGTAGGTGGAGTAGAACGTCTGAGTGACAGACTGAGGCAGGCGGGACGATGAAGACAATGAAAACCCCGGAGCATTATGAAAATGTGACCATCCAGCAGGGATCAGAGTGGACGCTTCTTTCACTCACCCACGGCAGCCCGTCCAGCAGCAGCTGGGAGAGGCACAGCGCGGCGGCGGCGACCTCAGAGGGCCGGTAGTGGACCATGTCGTAGTCCAGGAGGGTCAGCTCCATCAGATACTTGGCCAGCGTGTGCCTCTGTGCGTCAGACTGAGACAAACATCAGAACATCTTAGACCGTTGGTACCAACGAGAGTCTGCAGGCCGGTTAAAGACGAAGGCCCCAAAGTCACCGTCCAAGCTACATCCTGGTCCACTCAAAGTGGTCGAGGAATTAAATTAAAGACGCTTGGATGTGGACAAAAGCACATTTGTTCCATAAAATAGGATTCTTACTGCAGGTCTGGCCCAAACAAACTTTACACCAGCTCATGAAGCCAACGCGATGACATCATCCACATTGAAGCCATGCAGGAACTCACGTTGGCCACCTTGGAGGCCCGTCTGAGGAAGTGCAACGGGAGGGGACGTCCCAGCTTGAAGTTCAGAGTCCTCAGGACCAGCTGCTCCATCTCCAGGACCTGGGCCTTGGTGAAGGCGTTGTCTGTGATGTAGGTGAAGTCCCCGACCTCCGGGGCGTACATCTCCTCGTACTTGCAGGCCACCAGCATGGCGGTGACGCCGACCAGCTGCAGCTTCCCACGAGAGACCTGCTGGACCTGCAGCACGGTGGTGAGGGGGGGGGCTCGTTCACAAGTCACCAAAAAAAACACAAAGACTGTTTAAAGGGTTCTCACCTGGAGGAATCGATCTATCACGGCGACGGTGAGGTACAGGGTCTCCTGCAGCAGCTGGAACCTGGAGTGGACCTGGACCAGCCAGTCCACCAGAAGAGCCCGCATGCGCTCTGTGATCTTGTAACCCTGCATGTAGTCGGCCCGCACGGCCTGCTGCACCTGTGAGGGGGGGGGGGTTAAACAACGCCCCCTCCTGGGAGCAGCTATGGCTGCACGGAGGGAGGCACCTACCTCCAGGACATGCAGGTAGCTGTAGATGTCTTTGACGTATTCGGAGCAGAGCTGAGGGAGGTCAGAGTCCTGCTCGTCCACGTCCTCCACGTGGAGCAGCGCATCGGAGAAAGCATGGCACAGCTCCTCCACCTTCTCCTCCTCCTCCACGGACATGTCAGACTCGTCTGAGACCAGGGGGAGAAGATCGGCAGGAGGCACCTCCTCCGCCCGGACCAGAGGATCCTCCACCCGGACAGCTTTCCGCGCTGGTTTGGCCGACGGGTTTCCGGTCCTCTGGAGGACAGAGAGACAGAAGAGACTGAAGAGCAGTGGACCTCCTCCGCTCCACAGAAGAACAGGAACAAACTGGAGGGACGATGGAACCTAAACTACCCAGCATGCTCCCGTCTCACTGAGGCGTCAAGTGAAGATGTCAATCATCTTCCGTGAGAGACTCACGGAATACAAACATGTAAATGTCTAAAAGACTTTTTCACGTTCCCGTTTGGCAATTAGTGAATCAATGAGGCGTAACGTGTGTCCAGGTGTGTGTGTGTGTGTGCGCGCACCTTTGTGTTGTTTCCCGCGGCTCCGGTGAAGTTCGTGATCTCCCCGAGAGCAGCCCTCCTCGGGCCCGCGGGGGCCGCGCTCTTCTTCCCCGGGATCCCCGCGGCGCGGAGCTGCAGGCAGGGAGGGAAAAGCCGCACGGACGCCGTTTAAAAGAGGCTCCGCCCACCGCGCGCGGTGAGAAACACATGGCGACATTTAACTCACCACCACGCGCGCTTCCACGGACGACATGTCTGACGGAGAGGTCAACCGGAGAGGTCAACGGGAGAGGTCAACGGGAGAGGTCAACGGGAGGCGGGAATGTCTGCGCGGTGACACCGGCGGTCTGTCAACAAGGTCTATCTGCAGGTAAACAACACGGAACCGGAACCTTTTAAATAGCGCGCGGTCAAATGTGATTGGACAAAGATTCGGTAGGACGCTGCTGATTGGCTGAGGATGAGTTCAAGGTCCCACCTACGTAGTCAGAATGATATGATAAAAATACAGTAATACTATAATAATACTATAAAGGGGAGCAATTATTACTGTGACCAAAAACAACAATAATACTAACCGCAATATTAGTAAGATGAAAAGTTTAATTAAAATTGATAAATATATATATCTATATATATATTTATCCATATATATTTATGCATTGATACTATTAGATGATTATTTTTAAAAGACATTCACACAGCCATTTATATAAAAATATAAAACTGTACCCTAAACTAAATCCAGGTTTTAGAATAATTAAGTCACATTTAACACTGTACTGATGTGATGTTGCTGCTCTTCCTCTTCTCCTTTTACAAATTATTATTATTGTCTCTTTTGGAAGGTTATTCTTTTGTTTCAGTTTTAGTTTATTTAACTTAATTTAATTTCATAATTTAATATTTCTATCTTATTATATTGTATATAATGTGTATCTTTTTATTCTATTTTTTTCCCTGTACATGCTGCTGTGATACCAAAATTTCCCTCTTGAGGGATCAATAAAGTATCAATCAATCAATCAACACATTTAACCTTTCAGCTGGGACGCAGTCACATCTCGGCCTGAGACCTTATCGATGGTCTTATTGAGAAATCCCGCTGCTGTCACACAACAAACCAAAGTGACGCCGGCTCACTGCGTCTCTCAGGGATGCAAACGCGTGTTTGATCAAAATAGAGAAGTAACTGAAGCTTGATACGGACGCTGCGGGGGGTCGAAGAGGAACCAGCGCTTTTTGTTTTTTGCGTGATAAATTGGATGTGTGGCGGCAGCGTCACGATCAACGCGTGAGTGATTGTTGGTCAGCTGTTGATGAAATTATAATCAGACCCCACTTAAAAAAAACCTCCTTGGATCTGCACGATTCACACAAGTCACCAAACTGAGGTGAAAAAAGCGCCTGTTTGCGTCCCTGGTCTTTATTTGAGCTTCTTCGCAGCCTTGAACCAGACACACACACACACACACACTAATATTAGTTATTGTTCTATTAAGAAACAAACCTGACAAACAGAACCAAACCAGTGACGCAGAGCTTTATTGACTCGAATGGTTCGTAAGTAGATCGGCTGGTTTAATATTTACATCCCCAGTGTTTAGTTAGACAAGTCAGAAAGAGCTCAGAGACAAACACATAGTTTGGTCTTTTCATTTGGAGATTAAATGACACAAGACAACCAACAGAACATCAACATCCTTCAAGACAAATCCAGAACCTTTCTAGAATAATAAGTGGAACTAATAACATCCTAAAATAACCCAAAATGTTCAAGACCCAGTAGCTGCTAAAGAGCACTGGTCACGCTTATTATTGTAGATTTGTGAATTCCATCAAATACAGGAACAAAATATTTTGTTGAAATACCACTAATAGCTATTAGTAACCATAGTAACGGTTTCTACAGAAAAAAAATCAAGATTATTTGTTGCTTTTTATTCAGTTTGAATCCAATTCACAGGAGGAACTCAGTAAAAATACATTCACTGTATTTATTGATCTGATCATGAATATTCTATTCAGATAATGAGCCACAATTTATGTGAACCGTGAATATAACGATTGGAAGTTGAGATGATAAAAGATGTAACGCGAACGTCTTTGTGTTCAACCATTAAAACCAGGATTCTTCTGAAAGAATACTGAAAAAAACCTGATTGATCAGACAGATGTTGAGGGTGATGAAGATGAGGAAGATAATAGCTCTGTCCTCAGTCACTTCCTTCTAGTGTGGATGCAGACGGTTCATTTCAAAGTAAAAGGAGACACCGAAACGCGTGGAGGAGCTCGCCAGGCGTCATGGCAACCAGAAGCTGTGGAGGCTCGATGAGGAACAACAAGATGAAAAGTGTTTCACAGCTTCACACAAAGAACTTATTTCAAATGTAACTCTTTGACTGTTGTTGTTGTTGTTGTTGTCTGATCAGTCGCCGCTCAGGTTCATCTGCAGGAAGTCGTTGTGCAGCTTCTCCTGGGCCTCAAAGAGCTTCCTCAGCTTCTTGGCTTGTCCTTTGCTCAGCTCCTTTCCTTCAGCGTCGTGGGTGGGGAAACCCTGTGGGGCGGGAAGGAGCACGACGTCAACAACAACAACAACAACAACGTCACTCAGCGGACTTCTTCTTTCCCAGTGTGGCATAAAATCAAGTTATAGTACTCTATACTCTTCTTTTGGTGCTTCAAAAAGACCTTTTGAAGGGATTTACCGTTTCGTCAAACTTGGAATACTTTTCGGTCTCCGTGCGGAACATCTGGCCCGGAGGGAGCTTCATCTTGGCCAGTTTGAGCATCTGAGAAACAAGGAGAGGAATAGAAGAAGAGGAGAAGAAGAAGAATAACAGGGTGAGTGAGCGAGGCTCCTGAACAGAGAAACCCAACGAGTGGATCCGGAGGACTCACCTCCTGCTCCTGTTTCCTCCTGGCGGCGTCTTCCTTCTTCTTCTTCTTCTCCGCCTCCATCTGCAAAGAAGGAAGACCGGCAGCTAAACATCGGAGCCTTTTAAAACCTTTAAAACGTCCACGAATACAAGACTTCATTATTATTATTATTATTATTAATGGGTCGCTGGTTTCCTGCCGTGGTCCTCATATAATCACAGGGACCTTTTTCTCCTTAGTGTACATCCTAAAAGTATCTTTGAAGTATCTTCTCAGCAGAGTACTGACTAAAGTGATGATGTTAGCGGTGAAATACAACCTTAGCATTCAGTTATTACAGAATATTTACTGTAGGAATTATGATTGACATTGAAAGGTAAATCTCATGTACTTCCTGTAATCCAAAATACCCCTTAGGGGTACTAGTACCACCATTAGAGAAACACAGTTCGTTTATTGCACTTATTGTACGTCGCTTTGGATAAAAGCGTCCGCTGTAATGTTTATCATGTGATTCATTTGCATTAATGTTTTCTAATATATTATTGTATATTAAACCTGTACCGTTAATCCGCAAACTCTATTCGTGGTTTCCAACCCTGAAAAAGATCCACCGCTTTGGTCTCTACCTTTCACAATAAAAGCCCAGGAACTCAAAGAGCATTTCACTAAAAGGAAACTCGGGCAAAGAGCCAACCTATTTACCCATGATCCTCTCTGTTATGTGTGAAATATAAACCTCACCTGCTTCTTCTCCTCTCTCTCCTTCAGCAACGTCTCCTTGTCCACCAGCTTCACCACCGTGGGCAGACCTGGAAACACAGAGCGACCCACTCGGCTTATTTGACCGAGCTGAGGCGTGAAAACGACCCGAGGACACAAGATGAAAGTTTCCGTTCCGTTACCTTCGTGGTCTTCTAGTCGGACCCCGAGCTCCGGTAACGTGTCGTCACGGACGACGTCACACAGCTGCAGCAACTCCGTCACTAGATAACGTTAGATCAATTAAACGGAAAAGGAAAGTATTTTTAAACAGGAAGAAAAAAAAAGGAAATATGAATATAAAGTAATATTTTTTTAAAATGGTAATAAAAAAAATAATAACAAGTGAAAAAAAGGAAATAATAAGACACTGAAAAAGACGCTGTTATTACCTTTCTGCTCTCGGGCGATTTTTCGGACTCCCTCTCTGAAATCTGACAGCACGGTGAGGTACGGCATCACGGTGCTCTCCAGCTAGCAAACAAACACAAACACAGCAGAACGTTGCAGCTTGTTTATCAAATCATCTGTTATCAGATGTACATAATCTAAACAAATCGAGTGAAGTCCCAGAATATAAGGGGAGTCCAAAGAACCTGGATGAGAGACCATTACTTATAACTGCCAGTCGAGTGTACCTTAAATTAGCAGTGACCAGGATGTTAGTCACATGACTAACATAATAAAGTGATATTCAGACATGAGAAATATTAAAAGTAATTTCGCTAGATTTAATGATCATCATTCAAAGTTAGCAGACCAGCTTCCGTAAACCATAAAATAAAACACAAATGTGTCGACTCACATCGATGCTCTGACTCTGTCCTCCCACCGGGAAGCCGATGGGCTCCGATCCTTCGATGGCGCCAAATACCTGAATGACAAAAGCCTCATTTCAGTTTCATGCAAACTGCAGAACAACAACAGCCAACTGGATGCAAGCCAGTCGCGGCACTACACATCGAGCTAATCGTGCAGCATCAGGACTCTTTATTAGCGAGCTCACCGTGCAGCATCAGGACTCTTTATTAGCGGGCTAACCGTGCAGCATCAGGACTCTTTATTAGCGAAGCTAACCGTGCAGCATCAGGACTCTTTATTAGCGAGCTCACCGTGCAGCATCAGGACTCTTTATTAGCGAGCTCACCGTGCAGCATCAGGACTCTTTATTAGCGAAGCTAACTGTGCAGCATCAGGACCATGTAGCAGCGAGCTATCCGTGCAGCATCAGGACTCTTTATTAGCGAAGCTAACTGTGCAGCATCAGGACCATGTAGCAGCGAGCTATCCGTGCAGCATCAGGACTCTTTATTAGCGAGCTAACCGTGCAGCATCAGGACTCTTTATTAGCGAGCTAACCGTGCAGCATCAGGACCATGTAGCAGCGAGCTAACCGTGCTGGACTAAGGCCCCTTAACCTTTTATCTCACCTTCAGCATGCCTGTGAGGTACGTGGCGATGCCCTCCAGCAGCATGCGGTTGGGCCTCAGCTTGGCGCCCTTCCTGCCGGCGATGTAACTGTTGCTCAAGCCGACCAGCACCCTCATCTCCTCCATGGCGGTGCGGGTGTCCACATTGTCGCACAGCGCCGCGTGGACGGCCGACTTCCTGTCGTAGAAACTGGACGAGACGGGCGAGCCCTCCGTTACGAGCGGATGTTTACGCGCGACGACCTCCTCGTTCTCAATCGCGTCTTTGGTCTCTCACCTGTTGTTGAGCTCCATCTCGGCCGCCTCCCATTTCTCAAAGCGCCCCGTGATGTCGGTGGGAGCTCGCAGGACGTCTTTGACATTCAGGAAGAACTCCTGTCACACGGAGGGGGAGCGACGGCAGCCGGTTAACGGAAGGAAAACAAACACTCAAACTCTGAAGTAGAGAAACATGCGTCACGCTGCCATTACATTCATGAACTTCTCGTACTGCACGGCCGACTCCATCGTGTTGGAGGAGTAGTCCAGGGTGTCTTTCCAGGAGTGCATTAAGAAGGCCAGACGGAGCTGACGAGCTGCAGAAAGACGGAAAGAAGAAACGCTGCTTACTTCTGTCACTTAATAAAAAACAGAACCCCAGACAATGATTTCTGCTGGATCTTAAAAGGGACAACTTCTCCTCCAGAGTATCAGCGTTCTACTAGATGGAGCAGAAACCACAACCAGAGCAAAGCAATGTTCAGCTGTGGACGTATTTTAGAACATAAAATAATCATATTAATCAGTTTGAAGAATGTTTTCACTTTACGTTGAAGCTGTTTTGCTCCCTACAAACACACCCCACTTCATTCATGAAAACAGATATTTTAGTTTCTGAAGTACTTCTGCCTCCATCTGTTGGTCTGTTAGTTTGTGTATTGTTTTAATTTAATGTGCTTCGGTTTGGCCTTCAGACAGATTTACAAGCGTCTGCGACGTCCTGCAGAACCAGCCGAGTCACCTGTGTTCTTCGCCAAGGCGTCTTTAATGGTGATGAAATTCTTCAGAGACTTTGACATCTTGCAGCCTGCGATCGTCAGGTGTCCAGTGTGCAGGAAGTATCGGACCCAGCAATCGTTCTGGTAGAAAGCCTGTGAGGGGAAAACAACCGGAGCGCACACAGCGGATCCTCTTTAACTGCACACGAGCGCAACAAGTATACAACAACCCCGAAAGACGAACAGGAGCAACGCTTTCCAATGAGCAAATACAGCCGGATTCTGTTTGTTTGTACCTCGGACTGAGCCAACTCGTTGTCGTGATGGGGGAACCGGAGATCAAACCCCCCCCCGTGGATGTCCATGGACTCCCCCAAGATGGAGCCGGCCATCGCCGAGCACTCGATGTGCCAGCCGGGCCTCCCCTGTGGAAGCGGAACAGCATCCCGGTCACAACGTAGAACAATGGGCCCCCGCCCATTCAGCGGGGTTCAGCGAGTTCTGGTGGAGACCGGACCCCTCCCCCGCCCCCCCCCCAACACCCACCTTCCCCCACGGCGAGTCCCACGAAGGCTCCCCGGGCTTGGAGGCTTTCCACAGGGCGAAGTCCTTGGAGGACTTCTTGTCACTGAGCCGGTCGGCGGAGATGCTCAGGTCGCCTGCGGGTACAGTCGGATCACTACCAGTCTTTGTGCTAAGCTACGTTAGCTTCCAGTAGCACCAAGGTGAATCGGGCGGATATCTACCTTCTCCTTCTTGCAGGGCCTTCTGATCCCCCACCGCCTCGGGCACCAGCTTGGCGTACGAGTGCTGCGGGCTGCCGTCGAACTTCAGCGTGTCGAAGTAGACGGAGCCGTTGGACTCGTACCTGCAGAACCGACCGGCAGGACGGGAACAGAACTGTTAAAACCGGGGGGCCGGAAAAAAACCCGACCGCCAGCCCGCTGAGTTTCTCTCCCTCACCCGTAACCGTTGGAGACGACCGTCCTCACAAACTCCACGATCTCCGGCACGTATTCGCTGACTCGAGTCAGCACGTCCGGAGGAAGAACCTGTGGTCAAAGACAATTTGTACACAATCAACAACCGTGTGACAAAAAGAACACTTTTACATTTGAACAAATAAATTCTCTCTGTATGTATGTGTACCCGCACACACATTATATATATGTATATATAAAATAACATTCTAGGGACCTCAAAGATTAAGAACCTTTATTAACATGGTTTAAAGTCCAGACAAAGAAAATGGACCCGCTGAATCACATTATAATATAACAAATACCCACGTTCAGGGCCTCCATGTCTCTGTGGTACTCTCCCTCCCAGTAACTAGGGAGAACGGAGAAGATGGAATTCTCTGTGACTTCGCTCCCAAACTGCTTGTCCAACCAATCAGAGAGCAGGTCCTTCGAGTTCTCCAACAGAACCTGGGAGGAATCAAGGAACAAATTAGAAACGTGATTATCCCAATATCTAATAATTCACTTTTTAATTTCCACGCAAAGATCCCCATGATGTTGTCCATTAAATATAAAGTACGTTGGATATTCTGTCTACGTTATTAAGTAGCAAGAGGAATAAACGTACACTACGGATTTTAAGGTAGGTAAAAGTGATCATTTGTGTTTTTTAGGGAGTAACTCTTTACACGTAGAGGGGAAGTCTCACCTCGGCAAGCGGCTGCACGACCTCGTGAGCGGCTTTGCCCTCGGCCGCCGCCTGCAGGGGCAGCAGAGCGGCGGAGACGGCGGCGTCGAGCCTCTCCATCATCTGCTTCTTATCCGGGTCGGTGGTGGAGGCCAGGGCGACCTTAAAGGGCTGTGAGGTCACAAAGGGTCCATTCATCTCCATGTAGGTTCTCATCCTCATTCATTCTTTGGTTTTACTGTTTAATAAGTTAGTTTTGTGGTAAATATTTTAATTAACATTTTATTAAAACATTTGCCGTTGTGATTTCAGTGTTTGACAAGTGACCTCCAGTTCTATAAAGTGAAGTCAAATCTGCATTGTGTAGTGACCAGCAGGGGGCGACTCTTCTGCTCCCATAGACGTCTATGAGGAAATGACTCTACTTCTCTGTAGTGACCAGCAGGGGGCGACTCCTCTGCTCCCATAGACGTCTATGAGGAAATGACTCTACTTCTCTGTAGTGACCAGCAGGGGGCGACTCCTCTGCTCCCATAGACGTCTATGAGGAAATGACTCTACTTCTCTGTAGTGACCAGCAGGGGGCGACTCTTCTGCTCCCATAGACGTCTATGAGGAAATGACTACTTCTCTGTAGTGACCAGCAGGGGGCGACTCCTCTGCTCCCATAGACGTCTATGAGGAAATGACTCTACTTCTCTGTAGTGACCAGCAGGGGGCGACTCCTCTGCTCCCATAGACGTCTATGAGGAAATGACTCTACTTCTCTGTAGTGACCAGCAGGGGGCGACTCTTCTGCTCCCATAGACGTCTATGAGGAAATGACTACTTCTCTGTAGTGACCAGCAGGGGGCGACTCTTCTGCTCCCATAGACGTCTATGAGGAAATGACTACTTCTCTGTAGTGACCAGCAGGGGGCGACTCCTCTGCTCCCATAGACGTCTCTCTTGATTTATTCCCTCAGTAAACATTGTAAACATGAGTTTATGGTCTCAGTCTTTAGTTTAAAGTCTTCTTCAATACAGCATGATGTTCATTTAGTGAATTATGGTCCATTTAGAGTCAAACAGACCATAAAGCAGGGGACGCTTTAGGGCGGGGCTTACTATGATTGACAGGTCTCTACCGGAGGCTCCTTGTCATCGTACCAAAGACTGACAGACAGTTTGTGTCTCACCTCTCTGGCGTTCAGGACGTCCTGCAGTATCTGAGCAGCTTGGGGCTGTTTCTTCTTGTACTGGTCCAGGAGGTGGTTCTGCCGGGCCCTTCTGATGATCTGAGAGGAGAAACACCAGTAAGTTCATTGAAAAGGACACATGCCGGCACTTACATCTTTGATTTTAATTTTATTTATTTTGAAAAATAAACTGTTTTGATCACACGCGATGTGTTCAGGGACATTTGAAGAAATGAATATCTGGTGATAACCACAGATGAACGCTGCAAAAACCTATTTTTTTAAGTTTCAGAAGGTTAATAAAAGATATAATACTATACTGCCGAGACCACGCCTACCGAGACCACGCCTAATACTATAATAAATCTTTCTTGTACTCACTTTGTCGTCGATGTCTGTGATGTTTATGCAGTAAAGAACATCGTACTTGAAGTAGTCCTTCAGAATCCTTCGCAGAATATCAAACGATATGTAGGATCTGCACACAGAGACAAAATATTCTTATATTATATTATAATATAATATAACGATTAGTAAGCCAACTGATTATTGATTAACTTAGAAACAAATTGATTTCCAGCCTCTAAAATGTGACTTTTATTGCATTTCTTGACTCTTTCATGACAGTAACTTTAATATCTGACAAAAACAAGTCATTTGAGGACGTCGTCTTTGGCTCATCGGCGTCCAGGTACCTGGCGTGTCCCATGTGCGAGGCGTCGTACACCGTCGGGCCGCAGCAGTACCACGTCACCCGGTTCCCCCTCTGAGGGACAAACGGCTCCTGAAACACAAAGTACACATGTGGGATTTGAACAACGTGGTGACTGGAGGAAAAGTTTCTTAAGGACGATTTAACAGAAACAAAATTTTAAAATCAGGACATTAGAATGAAAAACTGAGATTTGATTTACTAAAGAGAGGAGCCCTTTAACATAACGTAGACCTCCTGGTGCTCCTCAGTTTGACCTCTGGATCCTCCTCAGAGACAGACATGGAGTCCTACCTTCGCTCTGGTCAGGCTGTTGTAGAGGTGAAGTGAAGGAACATCTGTCCCCGCTGGAGGAGACCAGGGCGGCTGAACACGCTTCCCTGTCACTGGAGGAAAAAGAAGAAAATAGACAATTGGTCAGTTTTCAAAAATGTCCATTTCTTTCCTCCCAAGCTGTAAAGCATCTTCTGGTCCTCGGGTCTCCTCACTAGAACCGTTCGTGTTCCAACACGTGTGTCAAAGATTCTGCTCTTTGGTTTTGGGTTCTTCTAAGAGAAGAAGACTCCACACAACCTCGTGGTGAGGTCGCCGTGCTGATTGGATGAATCACTTCTCAACACAGAACAGGTGTTGATTAGTCCACAGCGGGCGACACAAAATGGCTCTAGCAGGGTCAGTCTCCCCTCAGTCCTGGTCCTGGGTCACCCACACCCCTTCCCTCCAGAATCATAAACAAACAAACCATCTTCTCCCTGAGGGTCTCGTTTACTGATGGAGGTCTATACCGGTACGGCCGGCGAGGGGGTGGTGCTGACGGTACACCGAAGTAGGCCATACTCCCCCGGCGGCGGCGGGCCGCAACGGTTTGAGCCCCCTGCTATAGAGGATCAGGACTACACTGAGCCTGGTTGACATCGAGGATCAGGACTACGCTGAGCCTGGTTGACATCGAGGATCAGGACTACGCTGAGCCTGGTTGACATCGAGGATCAGGACTACGCTGAGCCTGGTTGACATCGAGGATCAGGACTACGCTGAGCCTGGTTGAAATCGAGGATCAGGACTACACTGAGCCCTGGTTGACATCGAGGATCAGGACTACACTGAGCCTGGTTGACATCGAGGATCAGGACTACACTGAGCCTGGTTGACATAGAGGATCAGGACTACACTGAGACTGGTTCTTCTTGTGACCCCTGTGAGGTTTTTCCCAGCTGCTGCTGACGTTTTGTTTGAACACCGATAAACTCTCGGCTACAAACACCACGAGCTCCTGTCGCCTTCATGCAGGTGGATGTTTGACGAGGTGCTCGACCTCAGACCGCCACACATCCAGGGACCGAGACCACGCCTACCGAGACCACACTACCGAGACCAAGTCTACAGAGACTACGCCTACCGAGACTACGCCTACCGAGACCACGTCTACAGAGACCACGCCTACCGAGACCAAGTCTACCGAGACCACGCCTACCGAGACCACGCCTATTGAGACCACGCCTACCGAGACCACGTCTACAGAGACCACGTCTACAGAGACCACGCCTACCGAGACCAAGTCTACTGAGACCACGTCTACTGAGACCACGCCTACTGAGACCACGCCTACTGAGACCAAGTCTACTGAGACCACGTCTACCGAGACCACGTCTACCGAGACCAAGTCTACCGAGACCATGATACCGAGACCACGCCTACCGAGACCACGCCTACCGAGACCACGCCTACCGAGACCAAGCCTACCGAGACCAAGTCTACCGAGACCACGTCTACCGAGACCACGTCTACCGAGACCACGACTACTCACTGCTGCTCTCGGGGTGGAGGTCCGGCTGCAGGGCGGCTATGTGTCTGTACCAGCGCAGAGCGTGGACATGCCGCGGGTGGGGGGGCCCGCGGAGGAGCCTAAAGGCCGTCTGGTCGGCCTGGGAGGGGCTGAACCCGGCCAGGTAGCTGCGGGGGCTCAGGTAGTCGTTGAGGGCCGCTGCCAGCGGGGCCTCCTCACTTATCTCAAGCAAGAAGCCAAACTCAAAGGCTGCAGAAACAAGAGGGCAGACGGGTCGCAGAGTTACCGACCGGGCCGGAGGAAAACCGAGAGGAGACCCCCGGTTCACCAGAGCCCCCCCCCCCCCCCATCAAACAACCACAGGACCCCTCAAACACGAACAGAGCCGCCGGCTGTCTCTCCTCGATATGGAGGGTTAATGAAGGGGAGTGATGTCGTGATGTTGTGATGCTGCTCTCACGACGTTTTACTTTATTTGAGACACTGTAGACGTGTGACATGACGTATCAGAGGGAGGAGAGACTCCTCGGGTCATTTCCCACATGTGACCAGTGACTGAGAGTGAAACTGTGAAAGTGTGAAACCCGTCAAACGGAAACTTAAATGTATTTTCTTTCTCTACTGATGCAGGATGAAGATTTGAGACGGAAGACGAGAGTCAGAAAGAAGCTGCAGACGGTTATTAATACAAAGTCTTGCTATAATAATAATAATTAATCTTTGTCTAGACCAGCGGTTCCCAAACTCAAGAATGACAAAACATAAACTAGGGATGAATAAATGACCTTAAGAATTCAACCGATTAAAAATGTATTTACCGACAATGTATGTTTTGTATACCATTTTCTCCGGAGCTCATGTGCCGTGTTTTCCGCACAATAATGCACATCAGATACTGCAGTCTATCACCGCAAATCACTGTCAAAATTCGAGAGCGCAAATCAGGTTGATCTGTTCGTGTAAATTGTTTGTGCTTCATCAATTAATGTGTTTCACATAACTAATGTGCCGCATCATACATATTTTTTTAATTGAAAATTAAAACTTGAAAAAACTTTTTTTTAAATTTATTTATTGTAAATGACCTCTCTCGGCCCACCTGCAGTACCTTTGCGGCCCACCATGGGGCCGCGGCCCACACTTTGGGAATCGCTGGTCTAGACGATATCCACACACAGTAGAAATAAATACTGTTCTCGGGCAGCTTTTAAACTCCCATCATCATCATCATCATCATAACATGACTAAGAGTAGCTAAAATACGGATAATTAGAAACAATTATAAAAAAAGTCACAAAAGTGATCAACAAAAGATGCAACTGTGCAAAACTGAGAGTGAAAACATACACAAACAATTACAAACAGGATGGTGAACAATTGATAACGGCAGTATTTGTAATGATATCATTCCAAATCGTATTTTCGCGAGACCTTGATTCAAATAAACATATTATAAAAATATCGAAAATAAAACCCCAGCTCATTAGGAAATAAACAAATAATACAAAATGTGTGATTTAATATTAACTTTCCACCAAGATATTCCCGCGAGGTACTTCTCTCTGAGTGGACGTGAAATAACATCTGGCCAGATGTGCAGACGTCATAAAAGATGCTGATGTGTTTAGATGGAATAAACGGGCCATAAAATGACACGTTTTTGTGGTTTTGGTGATCTCCCATTAAAAACACGGGACCGCTTGAAGCGCAGTCGGGGCTCCGAAATGACGCAGAATGGAAGACGTGCGACCGATTGAGCAACGAGCTCCTTTAAATGAATAAAACCTCTGACACGTCCTCTGTCGCCCTCCGTTCACTGTCATTTCAAACCGCCGGACTTGTGACCGGGAGTCGGTCGGTCGTTAACGGACCCGGTTAGCCGACGTCAGAGCTTTAGCTAACGAAGCTAACGTTCGCGCGCCTGCCGTGACAGCTCGTGGACGCGCGTTACATGGCGCCGCTCGGGCCCGAACGTGTCTGATACGACGTGTAAAACGCAGAGTATTTGCTGTACCTGGCTCTGCTGAAGTCGACATCGCCGCCGTGCTGGAGAGTCGGAGGATGCTGATGCAACAATAACGTGTCCGGAAGAAGAACCCCGCGGTAGGAACCCGGAACCAAAGTGCTTTCGGCCCTGAGAGCGGCGGCGGGGGGGGGACGACGATGGGGGACGGACCGTCGACGCGGAAGTTTGTTTTCGCTTTCGGATGCGCCCCTAAACTAACTTAGCGGGTGTGTTTCGTAAACTCTGCGGCTAAATGAAGAGTCCTCGTGTAGCCGGAAGCTAAACATGTCCAACATTAAAGCGCACATCGCGAAAGCGACGCGCCTCTATGAGCGTTACACCGAGTACGTGAGGAGGAACCCGGGCGCCACCGCGCAGCTGGAGAGCACCGTGCGGACCCTCTCCTACCTGATCGCAGGTCAGTGACACCTGCGCCTTGGACGCATGGAGGACGGGACACCGCGAGGGAACTCTAGTTGGGTTATTGCTGCTTTTAACGCCTCTGAACTCTGTTTCAGACACTTTTAAACACGACAATAAGTGACCGTGTGGTGCACAGAGGGGCACTTCTCGCCATGTTTGCGGCACATAATGCATGACGTCATCTACTTACGTTTACATTACATTACATTACATGTCATTTAGCTGACGCTTTTATCCAAAGCGACGTACAATAAGTGCATTCAACCATAGGGTACACACTACATACTTGTTGATTCCAGCTGTGTTGTCCATGTTAATGACCGTTATGCTTATTTCTGTGTACATTGAATTCCTCGAGTCTTATTTTGCAGGACGATTTGCAGATTCCCATGAAATATCTGAACTGGGTAAGTGAGGGTCAAGGGTCAATAAACCGGTTAGCTTATAAAATAAGACAATGCTTTGTCCCTCTTGAACTTGTACAGATTTGTTGGGATCCCAACATGAAAATGAGACATGCTTCTAGAATATCTGTTTACACGAAGGCCGACCTGATGAACCCTCGTCTCTCTTCCAGTGTACTCGGCCTCCAACCTGCTGGTGCTCTTCAACGACAGCATTCTGCGCAAAGGGCTGCGATGCTCCTTCTCTGTGGTGAGCGCCTCCACAGAGCTCCATCACAGACACGGGTGGTGCTCGTAGAGACCGGCCTCCGTCTCTGCTACGCGGGAAGGAAAGCAAAAAAAAGATTTAATCAGAATAAAAGCTGCACTAAGATTCTATATTTAGATTTATTGCCTCAGAGGCCGGTTGCTGCGTCACATGACCTCCAGCCTGAGTTCAATTTACACAGAAATATTAAGCAGTACAGATGGGAGGATATTTATTTATTTATTCATCAACTAAATAATATTGAGTAAAAACGATTTAAATGACCCCTCATGCGAGGAAGGAATCTTGATGACACTCAAATCGAGGAGTTAAATGTATCAAATAAATACTCACATTTGTACATATTTGCGACGTTGTTATGGTGACATGAAAAGTGCCGTTCTGTTGTATTTGCACCCATTGAGGACCTCTCAGTCACTCAGCCATCCGCCAGGGTCAGTGAGTCCTCGAGGGGTCAGGCCTTAAGGGTTAGGGTGCAGGCCTTAAGGCCCTAGGGTGCAGGCCTTAAGGCCCTAGGGTGCAGGCCTTAATGGCTCCATGTGTCTGACTGTGGGCTCCTGTGTGCTCAGCCCGTCTCCCAGCAGAGGCTCCTCACCTGGCTCTCCGTGCTGGAGCACGTGGAGGTCTTCCTGGAGATGGGAGCCTTCAGGCTGTGGGGGGACGCCGGCCGCTGGCTGGTGATCGGACTCGTCCAGATCTTTAAGTACGTTTGTTGAAAAGTGTTTATTATTATTTATTTACATCGGCTTGTGTCTTTACCTACTTTGAAAAGGTAAAGTGTGTGATGTTTGGTGCTTAATACTGTGTCATCATCGCCCTTCATGGTGGAATGAATATTTAAAACGCTGAATTCTTCTTCAGGGCAGTTTTCCGCCTCGTTCTTCTTCTGTGGTACAAATCCGGCCTCCTGACCTCCCCCCCCATAATCCCCCTGGACCGAGGCGCAGAGTTCGTTGGTGAAGGTCGGTGCTCGTCTTCCTCTCGCTGTCTTCAGTCTGAAATGCGTCTCCTTCGTATTTGATGAGGAGGAGGAAGTGACGTGTTACACTCCTCACATGTAGACGTGACGTTCGCTCAAATGAAAAACAGTATTCCTGCTTTTAGGAGCAATAATTGTTCAGGGGTTTATTTATATGTTCACTGAAGCAAACGCAGAGACGCAATAGTCCCGTCAGGATGATGATGGGAATCCGCTTGTGAGCAGGAATTGAATAATAGAAATAACATTTTATACGTGTTTACTCTCGAGCAAATTTAGTAGATGACCTCTGCTGTGACCTCTGATGTGACAGTTTGTTGATCCCGACGTGACTCGGCACCTAAAACATGAAAAGGAACCTGATCAAAGCTGCTTCATCGATATTCTTCAACCGCAGAGCAAATGAGGCATTTACGAATACATAATTATGTGTGTGTGAGATATTTTCTGTCCTCTTCTCCACAGACGACGGTAACCGGGAGCAACAGGCGGACACCTGCTTTGTGGGTCAGAGGTCAGGGCGGGTCATCAGGCCTCTCGGCAGCGGTAAGACTCGTTAGTGAACAACTCTCGGTTCAATAAACTTCTTAAGCTGAATAAGAATCTGTGCAACTGAGTTCCCATCAAAATAAAAGCCCGCTTACCAGGCCAAAACACTTTAGCGTTCAGCCGAGGTTCTGTAATGTCAAAAGACAAAGACAAATCATTAATACGGCACAAGTCAGTTTCCTTTACGCAATCTTTAACCTCGTCTTTCACTTAAAAGGTGACTTATTAATGACCTTCAAACATCCCGTTTACACATTTAAAGGATCAAATCCACACAAGGTCAGAGGTCACAGACGGGCTGCCTCTCATCTAATTTCTCCCCCACCGTCGACATTTCATATCAACTTTATTAATGTATATTACATTATAATACATTAGGACTTACATAAAATAAGTAATATGCAAATAATAAAATCAGTATATCAAAAATAATGATGAAAATCCACTTTCTTCATGCACGTGAAATAAAGAGATCTAAACGTAAGAGACGTATGAGGCTTTCTGTCCCTGCGGTGAACCCGTCCTCCTCTCAGCCCCCTCCCTGCAGGCCCGGCTGTGGGGGGCGCCGACTCAGAAGAGGCGGAGCAGCTTCAGCGGGGAGAAGCTCCACAGCGAGCCGACGCCGCTCGGCCTCCGGGAGACGCTCGCCGAGTCCGCGTTCATCGGCCGGCCGCTCGTCCACCGTATCCTGACCCATCACGGGGACTGACGTCTTCAGAAGAACCTTTTCGTGTGATTGACTAACGGGTGTCCTTAATAGTTCTCATTACGGACGGCTGAGGAGGTGCTGAAGTAGTAGTCGACCTCGAGGTGGCAGAATATTGTTACTCTGCAACCACAGTCATTGTTCCCAGAGTGAGAGACGGCGGCGTCTCCCAGCCATAAAGCATTGCACCTTCTAAGACGTTTTCCTTAAAGTCCCCCCAGTACTCTGCCTGGGGCTCTGTGGGAAACGCTCGTGGAAGCCGTGGCTCGTCTCCGGCGTCCTGGACCTCTGCAGGTCTGCTCCTCGTGTCCTCATTCGTCCGATAGTAAATCCTCTGCTCTTCAGACGCGGAGGATCGTATGTGTTCGGAAGTCGCAGCGTGTCACATTTTATTCCTTCCCCTCCCGTCAGCTTCGCCGTGCTCAGAGACGCGAGGTTCGTGACCCGCTGGGAGCGAGCGGAGATGAGGAGGAGAACCTTTCTGCTGCTCTACTACCTCCTCCGCTCGCCCTTCTACGAAAAGCACTCAGAGTAAGTCGCTCGCCCTCCTCCGGGTCGCTGTAGCGAGAGAGACATCCGACCGGCAGCTTTACCCCCTTGTTTGACCCGCAGGGAGAAGATCCTCTTCCTGCTCAGACTTCTGGCCGATCACGTCCCGGGAATCGGACTCGTGGCTCGTAAGTACCGGCCGGCTCGCAACCGAACGGTCCTGAATGTGGTTGTTTTTATTGTTCCGGAGGAGAGAAACAAGTGTTTTAACGTTGTGCTTCTGGTTTTACTTTGACTTGTTGTTGCTGGATCTTTAAAAGTGAATATTTCTGTCTGAAGACATTTATCACACAGAACCTCCATCCTGTGTTTCATTTTATTTTGTAGCCCAAAATGGTAAATTAGTCTCGGGGGGCTTTACAGTCTGTCCACATGCGACATGTAATGAAGGAGACCTCGTTCCTTGCAGGTCCCCTCATGGATTACCTCCCCACCTGGCAGAAGATCTACTTCTACAACTGGGGATAAGAAGCCTCCCCGAGAACGACGTGGATCTGACGTCCACTTCGCTCCGACGGAGAGACAGTTTCATTTTACTAACAGAAATAAAAGCAGACGTGCGCGTCGGACGTGGGTCCAATTCCTCTTCACAGTTTTGTACGGCGAGCGTCTCCCGTGTGATTTCCTCCCCCCACCTGGCCGGGCCTCCTTTAGAACTTTGAGCTCGACGCTCTGAAGACGAGAGGAAGAACCGGATCGCCTTCATTCCTGCTGAACTTCAGCTCCTCGTCAATCAAAGCTCAGGAGGCGGGACGGCGGTTTCAAATCTTTATTAACATATGGAATACGTTTCCTGTTTGTAGCCTCCAATAAATAGTTCAACGTTTCGTCCTTCTTTCATCTCAGGCTCTGAAGCCCTGAAGTAACATTTAAATCTTAAAACGGATCTTTGACTTAACAGATTCAAATGTAAACTTCCAAATGACAAAAAAAAGGTCCAACTGCACAGTTGAGATTGAAGAAGTGAGGTGGAGACACGGGACCCGTTGGATCCCACCTGGCTCTCACAGCCGGTTCTGGTCTCCACAAGGTAATAAATAAGCAGAGCCGCGCTGGTTTTATGATGTAAATAAACTGCACTTTTCTATTAACGTGGCAATAAAATAAAAACATTTGAAAACGTGAATCAATAGAATGAACACATTTTTTTTGAAAACAAAGACCAAAATAATGAAAAAGAATAAATCCCCCTCTTGACGGTTTCCTTTATGAAAATACATCAAGAGAAATACTGCGTCACTCCTGTGAAAGCGTCTCTGGGGGAGGAGGACGGCGCGCGGGCCTTCCTGCCGTCGGGTCCGTTCCATCAGTACGAGCCGTAACGATCCTGAGACAAAAGATTTAAAGGAAGAATCATTTCACACAGCTCCGTGTAAAGAATCTGCAGCAGATGGAGGAGAACCAGAGACGACCAGTGTCCTCGTGTGGACGTGTTTTGGGTCGTAGAATTCACCCTCATCAGAACCTGTCCCACCGAGAGGCTGCGCTCCGGCCTCTGCGCCGATAGTAGCCCACCCACGATAAGTAATAACCAACCGCTTTGTCTATCTAGACATAGTCAGTCAGGAGAAAGAGGGACGTCGAGTGTTTTGAGAAATAAATCATTACAACACAAACGGAACCTTTGCATTTAGTGAAAGGCCTGAAATGAAATCACAAACAGCCCTCGAGTCCTATAAAACAAGGAGATACCAGGTAAAAGCACATCTACGTGACTCATGCGTAGGAGCAGTCCACTTTTTCATCTGATCTATTGGATCCGACTAAATCCCTCGACCACCCACGAGCCAAAACGGGTCGAGTGTAGCTGAAAAAAAACCCCTCCTCACCCCCTAAACCTGCGCGGAAAGCGGCGACATTTTCCGTGAGGCGGCTGCACGTCACTCGCTAAAAACCACGGGTTCATTTCACGATTCGCTCGGGATGAATGTTCCCGTTTCTGCTCAGAACCCAAATGGGTGCTTTTGATTCTGACGTCTCACCTGGATCGTATTCATCACGCCGTTGGCCAGGACGGCCATCTTTCCTGCAACCGTCTTCACTCCCTGCTTGAACTGTGCGATGTCGGGTCCGGAGGGGAGCACGCCGTCGTAGCCCGCGGCGCGGCCTGAGAGGACGTTTACACAAACGCCACATGTGAGCTTTCTCTTCTGGATCAGTGTGCTTGGATCATCATTCATTTGGGGAAACTTTGGTGCAAATATGACATTTTCTCGAGGCATCAAGACAAAATAGTCCAACAGATGCACTATTTGTTTGTTTAAAAGACGACGTTGATCAGGAATTAATGAGCTTTTTTCAAAAACAAAGCTGCCAGGTGTGCCAGGTGTTACCTTTGAGGTCCGTTCCGTCCCCAAACAGCTCGGCCGAGCTGATGGAGGTGCTTCCAGACATCGTCTCCAGGCGGCTCTTGGCGTCGTACTGAGAGAGGAACATCAACGACCATCAGGTTTGTTTCATAAATCCCCCAGTACGGTAAAGGCCTCTGTGGGGGGGGGGTTACGGATCACAGGGCGATGAGGACGCACCTCAGCGCTGCTCTCCCGACCGAAGAACATGTCGGAGGAGATGGCCTTCGCGTTGGCGAACTTCTGCCGGGCCTCGCTGGACTCGGACACCGGAGACGAGGCGTCGGCTTTCCTCCTGCTGGGGAGTCTGGGGGGAAAACAAAACAAAACGGGAGAGCGCGCTCGCACACACGGGTCAGAAGGAAGTCCCGCCCCCTTTATTTCTGTGACCGGTAGAAATGAGACACCTCTCTCCGATGGGCTGGATGCTGGAGATGGTGACCTCCTCTTTGGGCTCTTCTTTCTCCAGAGCCCAGGAGGTGGTGAAGGAGGCGGTTCCTCCCTCTGTGTCCCACCGGGACCCGAAAGCGTCCCCCACCGTGAACGGGTTGTCCTTGTACCTGGAACATCCGTCAAGGGGTTTGATGAGCCAACGATGCCAACGTCACATTATGCTACAACAAACTCTATTGTGCAACTCTGTGGAGGCCGACGACCACGCAGAACAACACATGGCCGTCCTCCGAGGGGCCTCACGTACTTGGGGGGTCCGGAGGTGAAGCCCGGCTCCTCGAACATGTCCAATTTAGAGCGAGAGGAGGACTTGGTTCCCACCGGGTTCTCCTGCTCGATCACCTGCATCTCCGACATCACGGAGTGGGACACGGCGCTGAAACGAGACGCCGCGTTACTCAGACGAGAGTTACCGTGACAACGGGAGCCGGAAACCCCCCCCCGCCCCCAGCCGGACTCCTCTGTTTACCTCCTGTTGCCAAAGCCCATGCCCAGCCTCTCTGCCTGCTCCCTCTTCTTGCCCTCCATGGTCTGGATCTTCTTCTCCTCCATCTTCCTGTCGATCTCCAGCTCTTTGTAGGCCAGCCGCATGGAGGCCACGCTGCAAGAGCCACAACCATTAGACACGGAACGGCTCCTCCGAGGGAGGCCACGCTTTGAACGCTGAGGAAGAGAGGCGGACTAATGTTCCTCACATGGACTCCTCGGCGTGCTTCTTGGCCTCGGCGGCTCGATCCTCTCGCACCTTCTCCGCCACCTGCGCCTGCCTCTCCACCTCAGAGAAGCTCTTGCTGCTGACCTTCTGGGCTCCGAGGCCTTTCTTCGCCCCGAGCTGCGCGGAGTCAGGGGCACATGGGGAAGGTTAAACAGGGGGAGGGGGAGGGGGGCGCGCTGAAACATACGAGGTCTGTACGACTCACCCCTTTCTTGGCCGCCATGGGCTTCTTCTTACCGATGAGGGAGGGCTTCACATCTGTAAGCCAGGAGAAGATGTACTGAAGCCTTCAGAGTTAGCAGAGCACAAAGCTGCTCTCTGAAGGTCCGTAGGAAATAAACTTATGAAACATGCTTCGAAATGATGACCAATAGTTTCACCTCCAAACTACCGATAGAACGTTGCTATGATCCACAATACGAACATTAAACTGCGTTATTCCCTCATCCGGACAAGCTCGTCCCCAGCTGACCTTTAGTTCTCATCTTCTTTGTACTTTTAATTAATTAACGTGGGAACGTCAGCCTCAGAGCTTCATCTGCGGTTTCCTTTACAAGCTGCACCAACAAGACAAAGCCTGCCGCGCCTTCACAGCCGGAGGCTAAATGACCCATCAGGGAACGATTTGTTCTAGAGGATCCTTCCTCAGGCGGCACGACTCCGCCATGTCACCCGGCCGCTGAAGAGCCGCCAGCGTTTCCCCGGCAACCTTCAGGTATTCAAGCCGCACAACAACCTGGAACTCTTCATGACACGCCGAGCACAAAGAGCCCGCGCAGCCGCAACCGGGGCAACGTAACCCGGCGCGCTCGCGCAGCCGTGGTGACGGACGCGTGGTCGTCCAGGCGACGGGACAAACAACCACTTTCCCAAAACACAAGAGGCCGATTCAGCATCAGAATTAACGCTTCTTGATAAAGAAATTTGAGCCGTTAAATCACATTTTCTCTGCCTGTTAGGATCCCAAACAAACGAGTACAAAAGAGTAAATAACAAATAATAATAAAAAGATAACATAATGCTGAAAGCCTTAAATAAAGCAGCGGGTGTATAAGATGAAGACGCTCACAGGTTGTTTAAATGATCAATCGATCGATCAATCAATGAGTTACAAAGATGTTTCAGTTCATTTTGTTTCAGATAGTTGAGAATTATTCAAAAGGGGTTTCAGTTATTCATCAATGTCTTGTGATGTAAATGTTTTTATTCTATTTCCTGCAGTGGTAAAATTAGAGGTGGGTAAACTCTGAATTTTGTGATCATACAGACCTCGACGCGATGCGAAGTAACGCAACACAAAGCGTCGCGACTCTGTAAGGCTGTCCTGGCTATATTGCATTATGTTATCAATAAAAGTCATATACAATCAATGACAATGAATAAATGTGTTAGTAGTTTATTAAATTTAAGAAAACCATAAAGAAAAGTATGTCAACACAACAACACAATTCCTCTCACTGCCTGAAAAAATATGATGAATTTAAGAATTAACCTGTTAAGCAGCCTGTCAATTACACTGACAACACTCATGTACTACCTACGCTATCATAAATAGCCTACAGCATGGTTTTTTTCACATTGAGAACTGACTTGTTTTCTAATCTATGCGTCACCAGGCGTTTTTGTTGTCCTTTTACCGTGCACGACCAGCGAACACAGAGCGCGCGACTACTACCCACCCCCGTCGGTCGTTCCGCCCGCAACGACTACTACCCCCCCCGTTGGACCTTCTCGACCAGTCCGCGAAATATTGTCTGACATGAAACTGGTCCGTGAGGTAAAAAGGTTGGGGACCACTGGGCTGATCCACAGCGTGTGTTTACACACCTCCTGGATCCTTGGTCGCTGCTGCAGCCGCAAGGCACTGATTGGATGCTCACAGACCGTAATACAGCGCAGATGAACATGATTCAGAATACGGCGTTTATATGTTCGACAATAGGAAACGTAGACTTAGCGGTTTTAAAATTACACCAAGTTTATTTCGGATTATTCCAACGGAATAATACAAGGCGCAGGGAACTTTGAAGTGCGTAAACGCCACTTATAGGTGCGTAAACGCTATTTCCAAAATTGAAGAGGTGCGTAAACGGCGTTTACCCTCCATTACAGCCCTGATTTCCTGCTATAAGGTAACCTGTAGAGCAACATGCTAACGGATTAGCTGCTAATGATCGAGATCCCCTTTAGAAACAATTCTCTCCCTGATATTTAATTCTCCAGTTCAGATGTTCATCTCCATCTCTTTGTAAGCAGAGATGAGATGAACATCACTGGTGTCAGACACCACAGGGCGGTTCTGAGGTTCTGAAGGAGGCCGGTCGGGCTCGGGACTCACCCACGGAGGCTTTGGGCGACGTGCTCAGCCCTTCGATGCTCGGTCCGTCCTCCACATCTGTAAACACACACACACACACACGAGATGTTCATCCAGCCTCCACGTGCAGACCACATCTCATGATGATCAGCAGAAGCTTTTTCTACTGACGGATGTCCTCCTGAACTTTGGCCGTCGGCTCCATCAGCTCCGACAGCCGAGAGCCGAAAGCGGCGCCGTTCTGCTCCGGGCCGGCGGGCGGCGCCACGGTCCAGTCATCAGAAGTCTGACAGCGTGAAAAAACAAGGAGGATCCAGAGATGTTTTTATGTTAATTGAGAGAGAGAGAGAGAGATAATAGACACACACACACATTGTTTGTGATCTTTTAACATTTATACATAATCTATACCCATTTATCTAAAATGTTACCTATTTTTACTGTAGTTTTTGTCTTTACTTACTGATACTACCAGTACATTTACTTTCAGTTGTACTGTTGTATTTAACTTTATTAAATACTTTTATTTTTAAGAGATATTTTGTGTGTTTAAATGAATAGTGGCCAGAATTAGCTAAATATTCACTTTTACTAAGATAATACACAAAGATATTCCCTGATATGTGGCCATCATTCATTGGGCCCAAACTGATTGCGGCGTGTATGTAAAACAAAACATGCACGCACACACACACACGCACCTGTGTAAGTTCTTCAAAGAAGTCGGTCTCCTTCCTCTCTGGAGCTGTAGGAGTCCCTCCTGGAGAAGACTCGATCCACAGCTGCAAAGACAAGAGGACTTATTGAGACGCGGCGCTCTGGGTCTCTGTGGCATGGCGCCTGGTACGAGCTGCGCTGCCATTAGTGCTCTGATCGACGCGCCACGCGCTCAGAGTCCGGCTGAACCAGTTCCTCGGGTCGCTGTGTGAGCGCCGCCAGCTACCAGAGGCTGCGTGCGCTCGGTAGCAGACTCGGGGCGACGGGGCTGAACGGCACACCGGTTCAAACGGTATAAGATTTGCGCACGGTGAGAGTTTGTCGCGTACTGTTCATACCGGCGGAACAACACAAGAGCGGACGCTGCTCTTCGGCATGCGGCGGAATTTATTATAGCTTGTGACACATAAACTATTAGTTACACTAATAATTGCTGAACTGCATGCTGGGTAAAGCTCCCAACAAGAAGTAACTCTGTTGCTACATGGAAACACGGAAAAGAGCGACGCAGGAGGAACAAGGAGAGACCAGAGATGCACCAACACAACTTGTGCCCAACAGAGGAGCTCAGTCCGTTTGGAGGGTTTTTGGTTTTGGAAAACCCGACGTAAGTTACGTTAGGTCAGAAAATGATTTATTGCAAAGTCTGTCGAGCCTCAGGTGGCAACACTAGCAGCCACAACGAGCTAACACGCTAACGAGCGGTGAGCGGCTGTTCGGGTCCTTTTCAGGGTCAATGAATTAATGCGTTTACGTCACATACCGGGGTACCGTCAGACTCTAAATACCGTGATATGGATTTCCGGCCGTACCGCGCAGCCCTACCGGACGATACTCACGTCAGAGCCGTACTTGGACAGCGCAGCGTTGGCCTGTTGCCGGACCTTCTCCCGGTACAGCTGAGCGGCCCGACTGTTGTACTTGGCGTTGGTGTCGTTGGTGGAGCAGCCGTGCTGGCGGAAGAACACCGTCTGCAGACGGGAAGGAGGCGATATGGATCCACAGCAGTGAATCAAACTATTCATTCATTCAATGATTATCTGGTTTCCTATTAAATGGATTGATTCACGCCTGACTCGCGCTGGCCTTACCGCGTTGGCATTGCCTCCAACCTGCATACATCTAAGCTGGAACCAGTTCCAGTTGGAGTCCAACTCGGTAGACCTGAGGAAAAGAGAGAAGAATATGGAAAACCAACCAGCCCTCCGGTGTGGCCTGTGACCTCATCGTGGCGTACAGGTCACGAAGGCTGCGCGTTTGGTGAACAGCAGGAATCTACTGAATGTGACACATGCCGGTTTCCCAGAAACCAGTTAAACAGGAACAGCGTTCCTCAATGTCCTCGTCTTCCGTGTGCATCACCAGCGGATGTGGTTGTTTACTTCTACTCTTTAGCTTCCATCTTCTTCACCTGCTTCCATCCCCACACGTCCCACAAACACCTACTGCATTCTGTCTGCTTCTACCGTCACTTTTCCCACATCGTAGATAAACAGACATTCTGGGGGTGCGGTTGGCGGAAGCGTCGACTGGCCCGGTGACGTAGCTTTCACGCCGTAGCGCCAGGTGACGGCGCCTTGCGTTGAGCCCTCCAGGTGTCGGTGTGACGAACTCGATGGCTCACCTGATGAAGCTGAGGTGGACCCCCAGGGAGCGGTGGATGCCCGAGCAGTCGATGCATAGGAACACGCCGTGAGAGATGCTCGCCCAGCTCGGGTTTTTGGCCGCGCAGTCAAAACACACCTGAGCAGAAACAAAACACTTTTCAGGTGAACACCTGAATGATTGTGACACACGTTGACAGTTTATCACAGTCAACATCAACACTTCCGTTTATCAAACATTCATCATCATAACTCCTTTAAAAGTCAAATATGTTAATACATTAAAAAGAACAAGTTACATCTGAAACGTAGCGTAATAAAAAGTACAACACGTACCCCCGGGATGTACTGAGGTTACAATAAACGGTACAACATGTACATCCCAGATGAAGTGGAACAATATAGTTACATAACAAGTAGAATAACTGTTCTCACTTCGCTGCCACTGGATTTGATCAAACCTGAAACCAGCTCGAGAAAAACGTTGATTTTAAAATCGGATACAATCATCCGGAATGCATATTAAAATTCCATTACGTCAGACGCTGCTAGCATTGGATAGCATCCGGTTCGTACGGTCAATCGTTATGACTCAAAATCACAACGTAACGTTAAATATCTTTACTAAACCTCGTGTCATTGATTTGGACATGTACGTTTTAGACTAACCAGTTGAACTGTTAATACATTTCCACCACGAATTGAGTGGTTAGCTTCCCTCCTCAGTATGAACACAACTCGTATACGTGGCCTTCATGTTCCACTGCTTCGCCGGCAGGATAGCAGGCTAGCAGACTATCAGGCTATCAGGCTAGCGGGCTAGTAGGCTAGTAGGCTATCAGGCTTTCAGGCTATCAGGCTTTCAGGCTTTCAGGCTAGCGGGCTAGTAGGCTATCAGGCTTTCAGGCTATCAGGCTTTCAGGCTAGCGGGCTAGTAGGCTATCAGGCTAGCAGCCCCGTGTAGCCGGGCCGAGCCTACGTGCTAGCAAACAGTTTACCGGGTCTCTTTTTGGACCGAAAGAAGTCAACCGAATAACCGCCAGCACGACCCACTCACACGGAACGACACACACAACGCGGCGGCGTCACATCTCGGTTACCTTGTTGGTAGCGACGGATCTCAACCTTTTAAAAATGGCTAGGATCTCAGTCTTATTTGGTTCCGTAGCCATCTTGTTACTCTGACGATTGCCATTAAATTACGTCACTACGAATCGCCGTTGGTCAGAAATCCAACAAAAGCGAAAGCCCTTTAACGCTGACGTCATCGGCTTGCGTAGAGAGATCGGTGCGCAGCTTGCTCATTTTTAACTTTGTATTAATGGATGTCAAATCACAGAAGTGTTTTAAAATAAGTAGTCAACTGTTATTGGTTAGCTCATCAAGCAAGAAGTAAGAGTCATCTAAAGAAATGTAACAACACACGTTATTCACAGTAGTCCAGTATTTATGGACTACAATGAATAACGTGTGTTACATTTTACGTGTGTTAACTCCTCTAATAGACACACAGTTATAAGAACCTGTATAAAGAACCAGTTTATAATAAGACCAACACATCCATTACATTACATGTCATTTAACTGACCCTTTTATCCAAAGCGACTTACAATACGTGCATCAACCATAAGGATACAAAGGGATATTCCGACCTTAGAAGAAGGCAAAGTAAAGTCCAGAAGAAATCGCATTAAAGTAAATTACCATCAATTAAAGATAATGTGCAGAAGAAAACATCAGTATCATTTGTGGTCAGCTAGGATTTGAGTGACGGTAACATTTCCTCAATAGGCCTAGTAGTTTATAGCAGGAATAAGCATATTAACAGTAATAAACTGAAAATACAACAAAAATATGACAGGAAATAATTAGAAGAAAACGAAGAAGAAATGAGAGAGCATTCATCAATACATTTAATAATATTAATAATAAGGACATTGATAATAATAGCATCCATAATAATACGTTCAAATAACAATAACAACAACGCTAATTTATAACTACTAACACTAAAAATACTGAGGCTAAAAAAACATTTTTTTAAACAATATCCCAAAATGTTTTATGTGGTTGAAACAGGAATAATAAAAAACATACCTGCATTCATATGAAATAAAAAGTGAAATTGAAGGAAAAGACGTTTTGATAGAAATATGTTACTGATTCTGAAATAATTCAGTGTTCAGGCCCCTGGTGGAATAAAGTCAATTCAGTTAAGAACTAAACTAAAACTTAACTAAAGTACGTTTATAGAATATTTTCCGTTTTTATTAATTAAACGTCACGCAAAATGGTAGAAATTCTCCACTTGAACCGGATCCTCTATTACAAAATATAAAATGGTATTTATTAAACATTGTTTATTTAAAAAAAACAACTGTTTCGTTTATTTATTTATTGTTTTAATATTTTCAGGACATTTTACTTTAAAAGTACCAGCGTACTGGTTGTTTCGTAAACGGTGAGTTGGTTCACGAATGTGCAGAAGACAACGAGACAATAAAGAAGCAACACGACAGGATTAAAAGCTAAAAAGAAAACACACATCGGTCATTGACCCACATGCAGAAGAACCTGCTTTTCTGTTGATTATTGTCCACTTAGTCGGCGCCCCGCAGTGAATAATGATTTAACGGCAAACAACAACAACAACAACACAAGGCTCCTCCCACACCGAACCTCCCCGCGCCCTTCACAGCAACCCAAGGAATCCGGTCCGCCCGGTCCGCCCGGGACGGGGCCGCGCCCCGCGCTCTGCATCCGACGGGCAGCGCTCCTCGGCGGGTCACTCTGCGCGGGACTCGATGGAAGCCTCCGCCAACACGCCGACGCGGCTGCTGCTGCTGCTGCTCGCACTCATCGCCTCTTCCTCCTCCTCCTCCTCCTCTTCCTCCGCGTCCACGCAGAGCTTCTACGGGGACAGCGTGAGCTTCATGCCCCTCCAGAGCCGAGGGGACAACACGTACCAGGTGCGTCTTCTTTAAATACTCAGCATGTTTTATTACAAATGGCTTCTACTGTACGATGGACGATAGAGCAAATACCACATATACACTCACCTAAAGGATTAGACACATTGGAAATGCGCTTAAATTAAGAAAAGCCTTTTGACATAAGAGATGTTACTAATTCGGTAAGTGGCGGCTGGTGCATTTGGGCAATGCGGGCAAAAAAAAAAGTTATTATATTAAAACTACATTTTACAAATAGTCAATATTTGTGTATGTGTGTGTTAAGCTGTTGGAATAAATGTTAAATATTTAACTGTAAAGTAATTATGCGTGTTTTGGCCCTACCAAAAAAAAATCCACCAGCCGCCACGGTCAAACTTATTTTCCAATGCTTAATAATTGTTGTCAAGAGGGACGTTATTAGGAGAGAATCTGGTCAATTTAAAACATTTTTCAGAAAACAAGTCAAAAGACAAAAAATAAAGTTTATTTATTCTTTTTTATGGTCCGCGAACCCATTGTTAGGCACCACTGTGCCAGAACAGCTGTTTCCATCTTCTCACGTGACACAAATGAATCCGTGAGGCTCAAACTATTTGTGTCCCTCCCCCCTCCCCTCCCCCCCCCCCCCACACACACACACACACACCTTGAAGGTGACCTTCCATCGCAGGCAGAACGGGAGGAGCGCGTGTGACGCTCAGTCGTCACACGCGTGTGACAACGGGCTGTTCACGCGCTCCAACCAGTCGGCCGTGCAGCAGACGGACCGGGACGCCACCGGACGGGGGGGCTGGTGTCAGTCCGAGAGACGCACGACGGCCACCGTCTCCACCAACCGCACCTCCTTCTCCCTGAGGTGACCATCGCTTTCGTCTCCTCCTCCCTCTCCTCTTTTTCCTCTCTTTCTTCTCTTCCTCCTTCACCTCCTTCTTCTCTTTCTTCTCCTCCTTCTTCTCTTCCTCCTTCACCTCCTTCTTCTCTTTCGTCTCTTCCTCCTTCACCTCCTTCTTCTCCTTCTCCTCCTTCTCCTCCTTCTTCTCTTCCTCCTTCACCTCCTTCTTCTCTTTCTTCTCATTCACCACCTTCTTCTCTTTCTTCTCCTTCTCCTCCTTCTTCTCTTCCTCCTTCACCTCCTCCTTCTCTTTCGTCTCTTCCTCCTTCACCTCCTTCTTCTCCTTCTCCTCCTTCACCTCCTTCTTCTCCTTCTCCTCCTTCTTCTTCTCCTCCTCCTTCTCCTTCACCTCCTTCTTCTTGTTCTTCTCCTTCTCCTCCTTCTTCTCCTCCTCCTTCTCCTCCACCTCCTTCACCTCCTTCTTCTCTTTCCTCTCTTTCTTCTTCTTCTCTTTCCTCTCTTTCTTCTCTTTCCTCTCTCTCTTCTCTTTCCTCTCTTTCTTCTCAACCTTCTCCTCCTTCACCTCCTTCTTCTCTTTCCTCTCTTTCTTCTCCTTCTTCTCTTTCCTCTCTTTCTTCTCCTTCTTCTCTTTCCTCTCTCTCTTCTCTTTCCTCTCTTTCTTCTCAACCTTCTCCTCCTTCACCTCCTTCTTCTCTTTCCTCTCTTTCTTCTCCTTCTTCTCTTTCCTCTCTTTCTCTTTCCTCTCTCTCTTCTCTTTCTTCTTCTCTTTCCTCTCGTTCTTCTCATCCTTCTCCTCCTTCCTCTCCTTCCTCTCTTTCTTCTCCTTCTCCTCGTCCTTCTTCTCCTTTGGCTCCTCCTTCTTCTGGGCTCAATATGTTATTTTTCTGTTTCGAGGAGATCACGTCAACAAAAACAACGACAATTTCAGGCGTGTAGACAAACACATCTTCCATACATACACAAAGACAGGAAGATAAAATTAAGTTCATAAATCCTTAAATAAATAAAACCCCACATTTAAGTGAAATAACTCAACATAGATTATAGTGTGTGAGAGCGATCAGCAGTCGAAACAAAATAAATCGATAAAAGCGAAAGAGACCACGGCCAGCGGCCGATGGAGGACACGCGGGGACACGCGCCGCCGATGGGGGACACGCGGGGACACGCGCCGCCGATGGGGGACACGCGGGGACACGCGCTTTCGGCTCTTGAGCTACTTTTCACTCAACTTTCCAATCCAAGTCATGGGGATCTAACAACCCTCATGGAGGGAGATCTCCACCAACGAGGGGAACAAAGTCGTGGAGGACAATACGGGACAAATGTGTCCTTGATGAAAAGCAGCAGTGTGGACGCACGCGGCAATAAAGTCTATGATAGATAAATAAAGCAACCAGCGACTTCCACACACAAAGACGTGACTTCAACAAAACACGTTACTCCGCCTGTTGTTCTGGAGGTGAATCACACGCGAGACCTTTAGAACCAGGAGCAGGCCGACCTGGTCCTCCTGCGCTCACTCACAGAGGGCGCCCCCCAGTGGGTCTTCTTAGGAATAGCAGCTACTTTTATAGAAGTACAATTCATGTCTTTCTGTAATTCTCACAATAGCAAAGTTATCCGGCGGGCCGCATTCGGCCTTGAGTTGGACAAATAATGATGAAACCTCTCTTCTCAACATCTTTCTAAAATAAAACAAAAATCAACTTGTTTGACTTCTGAATCAAAACACGTCTTTTCCTATAGATTTGATTTCGTGTTTTGGGGCTTAACATGAACATTTTAAAAGAAAATGAAACACGGAGTTCAGGATAAGTGTGAAAAGTGAAATACAGCCCAGCTGTAGATATGAACATGAATCAGGTGAATGAATGTGGTAAAACCTTTAGGAGGACGTGATGACTTCCTCGAAACATTTTAGCTCTGTCACTTCTGCCTTTTCTCCCCTTTGTTCTACAAGTCAAAGATCCGATGATCCGTTTCTAAGGTGCGCTATCGAGAGATGTTGTTTCCCGTGAACACAAATGGGATGATACAAGATGTTATCGTGATAACAATCACGATAAGTCACAAATATCTTCAATGTCAAAAATCTTTTCTGATAAAGAATTGATTGATCTTTTTTGATTAAGAAAGATGAAGAATGGGAGCTAAAATAAATAAATACTACGTTAGAGGGAGCAAATTAGAGAATGTTTCTCTTTAATCTTGTGGAAAGGACCTGAGGGAATATGAGGCAGGTAATGAAGGTGCATTGCGATCCTGTAGATACACGTTCTACAACATCAGGAGAACACGTCCTCTTCTCACTCAGAAGGCGGCCCAGGTACTGATTCAGGCTCTTGTCATCTCCCTCCTGGACTACTGTAACTCTCTCCTGCAGGTCTCCTGCTACCACCATTCCACCTCTGCAGCTCATCCAGAATGCAGCAGCTCCACTGGTCTTTAACCTTCCTAAGTTCTCCCTCACTCCTCCACTCCTCCGCTCTCTTCACTGGTACCGGTGGCCCATCCAGTTCTAAACATGGTGCTCACGTACCGTGCTGTGAATGGATGGGCTCCAGCTTACGTCCAGGACCTGGTCCAACCCGACATCCCGACCCGCACTCTCCGCTCTGCATGTGATAAACTGCTTGTTCCTCCTCACTGAGAGCAAAACACTCGACTAGATCTCCACTCTTTGCTGTCCTGCTCCTAAATGGTGGAAGGAGGTCTCTGAAGACATCAGGACCACAGAGAGCCTTCACATCTTCAGACTAAAGACGCACCTCTTCACACTCTACCTCCACTAACACACTAACTAACTGTAGCACTTACATTGGACTTACAATGGTTCTTATCTACAGCAAGTTGTACATCGGGCTTATTTCAGAAAATCACACTTTCTTGTTTCTTGTTCTTCTGAGTTTGTGTCCTTATGGTTGAAAGCACTTATGTAAGTCGCTTTGGATAAAGCGTCAGCTAAATGACATGTGATGTATGTGAGTGTGTCACTGAACCTCCTCGTCCTCCTCAGGGACTCGGGTTGCTGCTGGACGTCCAACATGGAGGGGCAGACGAACTGGACGTCCCACGCAGAGTTGGACCTGGGCAGCCGATCCGACTCACAGGCTCTCAACGGCTGTCCCGTCAGCACCACGGTGTCCTCTCTCCGGTACGGCAGGAAATGTACCGTGCAACATCACGAGAGGCTTGACCACCACTTTAATGAATACGAACAGTAAAAGTGTGAAATATGAACAAAGGGCTTTGAAAACAACATCATACTTCATATAATCACATCCATCCATCGTCAAACCGCTCATCCTGCACACGGGGTCTTGGGGGGCTTAAGTCTGTCCCAGCCTACTTCAGGTGATAGGCGGGGTTCATCCTGGACTGGGTACCAGCCAATCACAGGGCTACACAGAGACACACAACCATTCACACTCACATTCACACACCTACGGGCAATTTAGTGTCACCAACCAACAATGATCCCCAGAGCATGTCTTTGGACTGTGGGAGGAACCCATACAGACACGGGGAGAACATGCAGACTCCACACAGAAAGGCCACTGGGCGGAGTGGAACCAGGACCTTCTTGCTGTGAGGCGTTGACCACCACGCCGCCGTGCCGCCCCTCATATAATATCAATTTCTTTTAAATAACAATACAAACATTCACAACCACTATATGTTTAACAATTTCTTGGAGACAGAAACAGGAATCAGGAAACATTTATTGCCATAATATATCAGACATACAAGGAATATGACTTGGTGGTTTGTGCGCAACAGCAGACAGTACAACAATAGACAAGACAACAGTGCACGAGGAGTAAAATAAAAAATAAGGGTATTGGTTACTAGTATAAGGCGATGGGTTAGTTAAGAAATTAAAAGAAATAAAAGTTAACGTTAGAAAGTTAAAAACACTTAAAAATTAAAGATTCAAATTAAAGTGCACCAGCGAACAGAAAGTGACCGGTGGGATGTCAGAGTCAGTCAGTGGGGGTCCGGCTCTGTTGATGAGGTCTTAGTCCTGATGGACCTCAGCCTCCTGCCAAATGGAAGGGGCACAAACAGGTTTTGTCCGGGGTGAGAGGGGTCGGCTACCATCTTTTTAGCTGCTTAAGAGACCTGGAAGCGAACAAGTCCTGCAGGGACGGCAGATTGCAGATCACCCTCTCTGCAGAATGAGTATAGAATTGGCATAACGATCGTAGCGTATTACACATGTAAATACAATACATCCAACATGTCAACATGCTTTTGGTTTAGAGTCATTTCGATTTTCTTGCAGGGTGCCTCAGAACTGCTTCTCAAGGATCCAACTTCTGGCCCACGACCCGGACGGAGATCACGTGAGATGTCGCTTCGCCTCCAACGCTTCCGCTCCGGCAAACTTCACCATGGACGAGGTGACCCTGCGCCACATCGCGTCCTCCATGTTCAGGGTTGACTTGATTATATATATACATTTATTTTATTTAACTCTCCTCCCAGACCGGGTGTGAGCTGAGGGCTGCGGGTCTCGTTGCCGTAGGCGACCACGTGTTCGAGCTGTTTCTGGAGGACTTTCCTCGCCAAAACCTGACTTTGAGGTACGCGGGCGGAGCGTCGGTGTGGCGGGAAGCCTCCGACATGAACGCACCGCCTCTCTGCAAAGTCATGCTGCAGTTCTCCCTGAAGAGTGAGTGGGACCAGCTCCGCTGGACGCTTTGGTCACATCGGAACGACGTCGCCGCAAATCTTACAAGAAAAACGTTAAAAAGATTAGTGGCTATTGAAGAGGCTTTGCATGTTTAAACATAGCGTTTCAGACAATTTACGACCCAATAAATAATCCTCACATGTCAGTAATGAATTTCATGTAAATATCTATGAGTTCATATTAGACCCCATTGACCCGAGTCTTCAACATGTCTGTAATTTGACTACCGCAAGCTAGTCGTAAATGTCTGAAAGGTGCCTCCTGCCCGGGTAACAACTAGTGTCTCTGGGTTCCAGTTCTTCCTCCCATCGCCTCCTGTGAAGCCGGCCACGGGCTCCCCGTGTTCTTGTCCCGGACTCCTTCTCACAGAGATGTTCTCTTTGCCACCGTGGGTCAGATGTTCCAGCTTTCTGCCCGAGCACAGGCTCACCATACCAGGTACTTTTAGAGTTAGCACTCTTTTTCATCCAGTTTTGTGTCTCTTTGTAGTTATTTAGTGTCTCTTTGTAGTTGCATATCGTGTCTTTGTAGTTGTTTTGGTCTTTGGTAGTTGTGTTATGTTTGTGTTTGTTTATTCACTTTATGTCTTTTTAGTTCTTTGGCCTTTAATATGGACCTTTAAGCAAGATCATCACATTTCTAGTTGCCCAGAAGAAGATTTCACCAGATCATTGTTCTCCTGCAGCATCCACGACTTCCAGGTCAGCGGCCCCCAGAACATGAACAAAGTGTTCAAAGACGATCAGAACGGAGAAGCTGAAGTGACTCTGAGCTGGACTCCGGAGCTCAGCGACCTGTACAGATCCGTCCCAGTCTGCTTCACGGCAGAGACGAATGAAACGTGAGTTCCTCCACAGCCACTCATGGCCAAAGTATTTCCTTCTCATTGCTTGGTTTCTCGTTGGCGAAGCGGACATCTTTGGTTTCTTTCAATAAATCGGGAGAAAGGCCGGCGAGTAATAAAAGATCTTGTGTTGCTGGTTTCTGTACCCAACACTCGCTTTAAATATTCTCTCATAAACCTAAATGACAAGATGTTAACTTCAGTAACTTCATTGTAAATACCACTATCACCGATTGTTATATTTTTCCATTCAGACAAACAGAGATGCGGTGCGTCGTTATCATGGCGACCCAAGCGGCTGTCGTTCAAGGTTTGTTGACTATCGGTTGTCTCCGTTTGAACAAAACATCGGTATCGGTACGCTCATTATCAGTTTCACTCTGACACCACGTCTACTTGATTTACAGGCCAGGCCAGCGTCACCTGCTCGCCCAACAAGATGATGGTCGCTCTGGAGAAAGCCTCCATGCCCGGAATCGACGTGAACTACCTGAAGCTGAGGGACACGTCCTGCTCGCTCACCGCCAACGCCACCCACATTTTGGGCGTTATGTCGTTCAGCACCTGTGGCACAAAACTGGAGGTGTGCAAAAATATTTACACTTTTCATCAAAATAAGCAGGTTTTCTAACTTGAAATATTGCAAAAGAGAGCTGCAGGGGTGCTTTATTTCTTGAGGTTAGCATCGCCAATAAAACCAATGAGAATCTTCCACTGGCTTTTTGTACACAACCAGGCGTGATGGCGTTCTCAACTAGCCCCATATTAGCGACCGCCTTCAAACCACTACCAAATTTACCAGTTGGGTATTTACTGACATATTTTACCATCATGGAACAAAAACTCATCAGCTTGTGTTGAGGACGTTGCTTTATTCAGACATCCAACTCAATTTAAAAAACACATTGACGCTCATTGCTGCAGTACTGCAATAAAGACAGAATATTACTTACATCACATGTCATTTAGCTGAAACTTTTATCCAAAGCGACTTACAAGTGCATTCAATCATAGGGAAACAAACTCGGATGAACAAGAAACAAGAAAGTGCAATTTCCTCAAATAAGCCAATTTACAATTTGCTATAGATATGAACCATTATAAGTACAGTTTAAGTGCTACAGTTAGTGAGGTAGAGTCTGAAGTGGTGTGTCTTTAGTCTGAAGATGTGAAGGCTCTCTGTGGTCCTGATGTCTTCAGAGACCTCCTTCCACCATTTAGGAGCAGGACAGCAAAGAGTGGTGATCTAGTCGAGTGTTTTGCTCTCATTGAGGAGGAACAAGCAGTTTATCACATGCAGAGCGGAGAGTGCGGGTCGGGATGTCGGGTTGGACCAGGTCCTGGATGTAAGCTGGACCCCATCCATTCACAGCATGGTACGTGAGCACCAGTGTTTAGAACTGGATGAGCCACCGGTACCAGTGAAGAAAGCGGAGGAGTGGAGGAGTGAGGGAGACTTAGGGAAGGTTAAAGACCAGTGGAGCTGCTGCATTCTGGATGAGCTGCAGAGGTGGAATGACCTGCAGGAGAGAGTTACAGTAGTCGAGGAGGGCGATGACAGGAGCCCGAATCAGTACCTGGGCAGCCTTCTGAGTGAGAAGGGGACGTATTCTCCTGATGTTGTAGAGCGTGTATCTACAGGATCGTGATGTCGCAGTGATGTTGGGAGTCAGGGAGAGTTGGCTGTCGAGTGTCCTGCAGTCAAAGTGAGCGTTAACACGGAGTTGCCAAAGTTGACCGTCAGGTCCTGGGTCGGAGAATCTTTCCCGGAAAGAGAAGTAGTTCAGTCTTGTCGGGGTTGATTTTCAGATGGTGACCGGATCCACTGAGAGATGTCCGTCAGACAGGCAGAGATCCGAGTGAGGGAAGGAGAGAATTAGTTGGGTGTCATCGGCATAGCTGTGGTAGGATAAGCCGTGCGAGCGAATGACAGCGCAGAGAGAGTTGGTGTAGAGCGAGAAGAGGAGGGGACCCACGACGGAAGCCTGAGGAACTCCAGTAGTAAGAGGACAAGGTTCCGACACAGATCCTCTCCAGGTTACCTGGTAGGTGCGGCCGTCGAAGTAGGACGAGAGAAGGGAGAGAGCAGAGCCTGAGACACCAAGTTCCTGAAGGGAGGAAATAAGGATCTCGTGGTTGACTGTGTCAAATGCAGAGGTTACAAGGGTAAGAACTTGGTTAAGAGACAGGGGGGTAAAAGAGGAAAGTGATGGCGATAGAGGTGAAGTCAGGAGAGTCTCTGCAGCAGCGTTCGGATGCAAGAGTGAGAAGGAGTCAGTAGAAGGGAAAGCTGATAGAACAGAGGAGGCCAGGGAGGAGGGAGAGGGGGAGCGAATGTTTCAGCAAACAGGTACACAGTCAGTCGATGGGCTCTGGCAGATAAACAGCAAGAGCTAAAGCAAATCCGCAATCAAATTAACTTAAAACACTAGAATCAACAACAAATTTAGCAGACTAGCTTGATTTAAAGAAAAGATACTTTTTCAGGTCGTCTGGATGTCTGATGGCCTTGTAGTAGAGATGCACGCTGTAAAACAGAAAATATTTTTGTTTTTTAGAACTTGAACTTGTTCATTTTCCTCTCATACCATTATTTTTTGGTTTGTAATACAGGATCAGGGCGACTTTCTCATTTTCCATAATGAGATAAACTCCTATGTGCTGCCAACCGAGGTTATAATCCGAAGGAAGAAAGTTAAGATTGACATCAATTGCCAGTTTCCGAAGACAATCAGCATCTCCAGCTACTTCAACCTCCAGAAATCTGACTATATCTTCACCGAGTCCAGCTTTGGCAGCTTCGGCTACACTTTTGAGATATTCACCAACAGCAACTTTACAAGCAAGGTGGCCGCCAGCGCCTATCCGGTGGAGGTCAGGCTGCTGGAGATGATTTACATGGGCATTCAGGCAGAATCAGATCTACCAAACGTGAATTTGTTTGTCGAATCATGCAAAGCCACTCCTGATGATAATCCGGGCAACACCCTCTCCTACGACCTCATCAAGAACGGGTGAGTGCTGATGCTCGCTTTGCTTTCTGATTTGAAAAGATTTGAAAATCATCTTTCATACACGGTTCCCTGATTATGTGTGTGGGTGACTTGTAACACATCATTTATTAACAGGTGCCAAGTGGACGAGACAATTATCATCCACAAATCGAATGAAACTTCATTCAACTTTGAGGTTCAAGCCTTCAAATTTACAGGAAACTATGACCAGGTAATAATGATGAATACTGATATAACGTTATATACTACATTACATTACATGTCATTTAGCGGACGCTTTTATCCAAAGCGACGTACAGTAAGTGCATTCAACCATAGGGTACAAACTCAGGAGAACAAGAAACAAGAAAGTGCAATTTCCTCAAATAAGCCAATTTACAATTTGCTATAGATGAGTGACGTTACAAGTACAATTTAAGTGCTACAATTTGTTAGTCTTTAGTCGGTAGAGTCTGAAGAGGTGTGTCTTTAGTTTGCGGCGGAAGATGTGAAGGCTCTCTGCGGTCCTGGTGTCTTCAGAGAGCTCGTTCCACCATTTCGGCGCAAGGACAGCAAAGAGTCGAGATCTAGTCGAGTGTTTTGCTCTCAGTGAGGGAGGGACGAGTAGTTTTGCAGATGCAGAGCGGAGAGTGCGGGTTGGGATGTAGGGTTTGACCATGTCCTGGATGTAAGCTGGACCCGATCCATTCACAGCATGGTACGTGCTGCATTCTGAATGAGCTGCAGAGGTCGAATGGCGGTGGCATGGAGACCAGCCAGGAGGGAGTTGCAGTAGTCCAGGCGGGAGATGACAAGAGCCTGAATCAGTACCTGTGCTGCCTTCTGAGTGAGAAGGGGACGTATTCTCCTGATGTTGTAGTGCGTGTATCTACAGGATCGCGTTGTCGCGGTGATGTTGGGAGTCAGGGAGAGTTGGCTGTCGAGTGTGACGCTGAGGTTCTTAGCGGTCAAAGTTGCCGTTAGTACGGAGATTCCAAAGTTGACTGTCAGGTCCTGGGTAAGCAAATCTTTTTCCGGGAAAGCGAAGTAGTTCAGTCTTGTCGGGGTTGATTTTCAGATGGTGGGCGGACATCCACTTAGAGATGTCAGTCAGACAGGCAGAGATCCGAGTGAGGGAAGGAGAATTAGTTGGGTGTCATCGGCATAGCTGTGGTAAGAGAAGCCATGCGAGCGAATGACAGCGCCAAGAGAGTTGGTGTAAAGCGAAAACAGGAGGGGACCCATCACGGAACCCTGAGGAACTCCAGTAGTAAGAGGACAAGGTTCCGACACAGATCCTCGCCGGGTTACCCGGTAGGTGCGGTTGTCGAGGTAGGACGAGAGAAGGGAGAGAGCAGAGCCTGTGAGACCAAGTTCCTGAAGGGAGGAAATAAGGATCTGGTGGTTGACCGTGTCAAATGCAGCAGAGAGGTCCAGAAGGATGAGGACAGAGGAGAGAGAGGCAGCTCTAGCAGTGTGGAGTTGCTCTGAGACAGCAAGGAGAGCAGTCTCTGTGGAGTGGCCTGCCTTGAAACCTGACTGGTGGGGGTCAAGGAGGTTGTTACAGTGAAGATAAGAGGAGAGTTGATTAAAGATGGCACGTTCAAGGGTTTTGGACAAAAAGGGAAGAAGAGAGACCGGTCTGTAGTTGTTTTCTTCAGAAGGGTTAAGGGTAGGTTTCTTCAGGAGCGAGTTAACTCTTGCCTCCTTCAGAGAATTGGGAAAACAGCCAGATAACAGAGCGTTGTTGATGAGACAGGTGAGGAACGGAAGAAGGTCAGGTGCGATAGATTGTAGAAGATGTGATGGAATGGGGTAGAAAGAGCTTTTGGCAGCAGAGATAGAAGCAGAAAACGAGGAGAGGAGAGATTGAAATTTAAGCAGGTCGTCAGGTTGTTTATATTTACGCCATCTCCTTGCCGACGCTCGCATGGTGGCTCTCATGGCACGGACCGGTTGAGACAGCCACGGAGCCGGAGGGGATTTGCCTGTCCGTCGTGTCGTAAGAGGGCAGAGAGAGTCTAGAGAGGAGGAAAGAGTTGAGAGGAGAGTCTCTGCAGCAGCTAAACTAAGTCCATATACTAAACTTAGTCCAGCGCATCCGGTTGCTAGGCAACGGGAGCGGCGGAGAAAAAGTGTCCCTGCTTTTTAGGCCGTCACCAAAGTGTTTTTCTGCAACCAGAAGTGACAGTAGAGGGTGGAGCAACGTACAGCCGCCAAATAATATTTATAGGCCACCAACATGATACAATAACCTCTAAATCTGTGTGTCCAGTTATACTCCCTGTTTATTCAACACTTGGCAGCTGATCAGAAATGACAATATTGTCAAAGACAAAATCAAATCAATCAATCAAATCAAATCAAATCAAATCAATGTTTGTGAAAGAACATGTTGAAACGCAAACGTACCTAACATGAGCCCCACCTTCCTGTTCTGAAAAGATCACTAAACCTCTTAACTTCCATCCTTCAGGTGTACATCACCTGCTCTGTCATCCTGTGCGAGGCTGGGAGTTCCTTTTCCAGATGTGCCCAGGGTTGTCTAAACGATCCGTCCCGGCGCAGACGCAAGCGATTGGCAAGCAGGGAGACAGTTGGACACTTCATTACCCAGGGTCCTTTGCGGTTTGTCGGACAGGCTGTTCCCAATATAGCTGTGGATGATAACGGCACTGAGATGAAAAAGAGTGACCCTCCAGCTGCAGGTGAATATGTGATCTATCAAACCAATTATTGATCTATCGACCGACCGACCGACCTAGCCCTTCCTACTTACCTTACCAACGAATTACCCACCTACGGTTAAGACTTGCCCCAACTCTGACCACGTTTAAAACAAGACTGAAAACTTTTATGTTCAGCTTCGCCTTCTGCTAAATTTTACCTACATTGCACTTTTAACCTCTGCTTTTAATTAAACAATTTAAATAAGATTTTAATTTATAATTTTATTTGCTGTTTTTAATTGTCTTCTAATTCCTGCATTTTATTTCACTTTATTGTATGAAATGTTATAATGTGAAGCACTTTGAGTCTGCCTTGTGTATGAAAAGTGCTATACAAATAAAATTGCCTTGCCTTGCCTACATTCCTTCCTACTGACCTATCTAACACACCCTTTCAACAATTTTACCTTCCTACCTATCTACCGTACCAACAACATAGCTATCCGCCTTACTATCATTATACCTTTCTACCTAATTATCTATCTATCTACCTACATACCCAACACTTATCCTATCTTTCTGTCTTTCTATCTACCCTCCCAATGACTTTCCTAACTACCTACCTACCCACCGTACCAACAAACTTATCCATCTTCCTGTCAACAGACCTACAGTGCCATGAAAAAGTATTTGCCCCCTTCTTGGTTTCTTATTTATTTTTACGTATTTGGTACACTTAAATGTTTCAGATCATCACACACATTTTTATACTAGACAAAGAACGAAATGCAGTTTTAAAATGACGATTTCCTTTTATTAAGGGGAAAGAAGTACCCCCAACTATTTGGACTTGTGTGAAAGAGTAATTACCCTCTAACCCTAATTACTGGTTGTGCCGCCCTTGGCTGCAGCATAGACAGTTTGTTTAAGGTCCCTTAAGTTTGAGGTCACAATCTGATGGCCGGACATTCTCCTTCAGTATTTTCCGGTAGAGCAGAATTCATGGTTCCAGGTCCTGAAGCTGCTAGGCAGCCCCAGACCATCACAACATCTCCCCCTTCTATGACTGCTGCTTGATATGACAGGACACACCCCTTCCAAAAAGTTAAACATTGGTTTCATTGGTCCACAGAATTAAAAAAGACATAAAAAACAAACAGAAGAACATTTGTTGGATGATCTGAAACATTTTATTGTGACGAATATGCAAACAGCATAAGAAACTAGAAAGGGGCCTTACTTACTTACTTACTTTTTCATGGCACTGTTCCCACTGACCAACCAACCTACTTACGGAGCTACTTACCTTTCAACTTACCGACCTACCACTCAAGTTAAAATCACACGTACTGTTGTATTTCAGTGAACCCTCCACCAGTTTATCCAGACATTAAATCCAGCGAAGGAGTTTGGGGAATCAAGAAGGCCCTCAACAACATCAGCACTGCGGTCTTTGCCAGCACCTTCTGCGTGTCACTGGTGTTGATGGCTACGCTCATTGGTTACTTCATGAGAAAGAGAAGAGATGAAGATCGCAAATCTCTTTTAGTTTCACAGTGGGAAAACTAAACCCAACTAATGTCAGTTACTATTTGTTTTATTTTGTCTTTCTCCAAATAATATTGTCTGTATGTAGATTCAGTCATGATCAGGTCTGGAAGTCTGCATCACCGTCAGCCTGCCATGCTTTGACTAACTCGCACCAGAAATCTCTATTGCAGTCAACGACTACTTACAACATATTTTGCAATGTGTGGGATAGTGGACCTTTTTTGAACCAGCCTTTGAACTTAGGGCAGAAACTATGTGCGTTCATGCAGGGATCGGCCTGATTTTCATACCCCTACTTCAATATACGTTGGAATGTTTTTTCTTGAGATCTCTTCCATCAGATGGCCAGAATGAACGGGAGGGGGTACTGCAGAAGACATTACCTGTTTCATTGTTCATATTAACACCTGACTGTGGTTGAAAGACTCAAACAGTTATATGACGGGCATTCCTGGTGGTGGATTGTACTACGGTGCATAATGATATATCCCTGAAATTAATCTGGATAGTGTAGCCCTACCTCTTCCTTGATTCCTGTGTAACTCTAAAATGAAGACCATAATAACCAACCTTAACCTGTTAAACACCAGCGCCCTCTGGGAGAATACTTATCAGATAACTGCCTCAATGAAGTCACAAATCACAAAGTTACATTTTATGTTGCATATCCTATTAAACATCAGGACCTGGGCTACCAGTTGAACTAAACTCCCCCCAAAAAATGATTACCAGATGTCAACATTCCCACCTGAGAAATTGCACAGAAAGTGCGCAGATGTTTAAAAAAAATGACCAGGTTTTAACAGGTTAGAGCCAATTCAATTGTTAGTACAATTGTCACTAACAATTGTTATTAGTTATCTTGTACAACGGCGAGGAAACCATTCGCACGCCCACACGCAGCTCAGTATTCACTGAATAACTTTTGGTTTCTAGAATTTAAAGAACGTTTTTACAGCTCATTTGCATCATTTTTCATTATATTTACCAGACAAATTTGGAAATACAATACAGGATAGAATAGATTTATGCATTATATAAACCTTCCATTCTATGTCTTTCTTAAATAATAAACAATTCTTTGTGTGTTATTGTGAGTGTGTGCAATGTAATTATTCAGGGATAATGCCAGCATGCTAATGCCAGCAACATGGGTGTATGTTAAGGAATAAATGTATAAAAACACCTAACTGGGCCAGCAAAGACCAACCTTTCCTCATTTCCATCTCTCTCTTAACCTTCTTCAGATCATCATATCCATAATGAGGTTTCCCATAAGAAGCGTAGTATGCTGATGAAACTGCAAAAGATGTGATAAATGTTAAATGATATATCTAAATGTTAAATATAAATGTAAATGTTATATCTAAATATATCTAAATGTTAAATCTAAATCTAAATGTTAAATGTTAAATGCCCGCACCCTCCCCCCCTTGAACGGACCATTGCCAATGATTTGATCGCGACCGTCCGAGCCTGTGCACCGTTTGACGGGGGGGTTGCGCGATGATCCGCGCCCGTGCCACCAACCACCCCTGCATGACATGAAAGTGGACAGTATGTGGACTCCTAGCTAAAATGAGTATGACACCCCTGTATTATAAAAAGGGCTAATTCATTCAGACTTGCCAGCTTGTCTTACTGGGGCGTGAATTACCGTAAATATTGTAATGTTCAGTCGTCAATTCTGACATGTACAACATTTACATTTTTATTTGTTGGAATGCATCAAGCATTCCAAGTATAGTTCTTCGAATCTAAATTCCGCCTTCTTCTATTTCTTCCGTCGCACCTTTCAACTCCTTCACACTTTCAGCTATTAAAACCGTGCCAATATTAAAATATTCAACTCCTTTCCGGCTTTCCAGCTATGACTTTTCAGCTTTATACCTCTTAAGCTTGAATTTCTATAAATCAGTAATCATGAATATTTCTTCTAATGGTTTTCCAATGGAGATCGTGTTCAAATCCTCTTAAACTTCTTCAACTTTCAGATTTCTCAGCTTCGCCAATCTTTCAGCTACAGACACCATTTCAACTTTCAAATGTTGACACAAGTCTCAACTGTTTTATGAAAAAAACTGCTTTTGATATCTATTCTACTTTTTTCATAATCACTGATTATGTTTCACTAGTTCTTCGCTCCGTTTCAAAGTATACACTTTTGAGGCTTACTTTCTTTGGATTAATGATGGCATGGTGATTGGATTCATGTGTTCATGGAATCCCAGAGTTCTTTAGTTTTGGATTCCTGAGTGTTAAAGTGACACAACCTCTGCCAAAAGCCCCATAGGCTCCAATACAAATCTGCCGGCATATTTCTAAAAAAAAACAGAAGGTACACGTTTTGTAAACTGCGATAGGAGCCGTATTTATTACCGGACAGACATAAAAACCGCATCATGCGGTCGGTAGAATCTTAGGGGGGAGGGGTCTTAGGGGGGGGGTCTCGTAAAAACGTCGTATTTTTTAGATAGCTGTTATAGTTTTGCGCTGGTTGTCATTTGTTAGAGGTGTGGATTCTGTGTAACTCGCTGTCCTGTGTCTGCCCTTTGCAGCAGCTCGTTAATGAGCCCAGGTGCGCCATTGCCGTGGTTACTCGCACACACATGCTGCAGTATCTCTATCTGTGACTCACAGCTGCTCCTATGACCTGATTAGTGGAGTCACATGACGCAGCTATGCTTTCTGTCAACAGATCAATATGATAAAGACGCTCGCCCCCCCTCCCCCCTCCACCCTGACCTCTACTTACTGTTAATCACTAAGTCTGTCTAATTCTCCTCCTCTCTCTCTCCCTCTATCTCTTCCTCACCACCCCTCCCTTCCTCACCCTCTCACCCCCTATCTACACCCCCCCACCCCACCCAATCCAATAATTTCAAAATAAAAGGCCTATGGAGGGAATTTTTACTGTAATGTTTGTGATGAGGCCTATTAATTAATAACTCCTTTGTTTGAATAACAAACATTCTGTCTGCCAACCCCCCCTCACCCAATTCCATCATTTCAAAATAAAATCCTCAATGATTATCTGTACCTTAACCATGAAGCTCAGAATGAAGCGGTTTCGTTGAAATACGTCTTGCTCTTTCAAATACTACTACAACCACTAAGAATATTACTAGTAGTACTACAACTGATACTTATACTACCATACTACTAGTATTTATATTGCTATTAGTACTACAACTACTACTAATGTTATTGCAAATACTACTATGGCTAATAGTATTAGTATTCCAACTGTTTCTACTGCTATTGATACTAAACCTACTTCTACAGCTAGTACTACGAATACCACAATTACAACTATAACTAATACTACCACTAATATTACTACAAACAATTTAAAACCTTTTTATTCATCTCGGCTTTTGTTATTTCTGTACTTTTTAAAATTCACTTAAGCTCCTGCAACTTCTATTATAAAATCTATTGAAATTCAGCTTCCCCACTTCCTGTATTTTCAGCAGTTCTTTAAAATAATTTCAGCTTTTCTTATGCCTGTATTAACAGCAATGTTTTAATATTCATTTCTGTATTTTCTTTGCAATATTTCACATTCATTTTAGCGGTTTTCATTTCTTTTTCAGCAAATCTATTGAAATTCCGTTCAGCTTCTCCCATTTCTGTATTTTCAGCAATTTCAAATTCATTTCAGCTTTTCTAATATCTGTAATTTAAGCAAATGTAATAAAATTCCAAATTCTGAAGTTCATTTCAGCTTTCAGCTTTTTGCATTCCAACGCATTTTCAGCAGGAAATGCATCTTCTAGTTAACATTTATATTATCTAACAACTGTGGTACTGCCAAACATTATCCTTTGAAAAGTTATTGCATGAATTTACATGAATTTCTCTCTAAACTGACACGGGCGTGTGGCGGAGCCAAATGCAGCACAACGGCACGGAGTGTTTGGTTAACGCTTTTATTGAACACGGCCTCACAGCAGGCGTTCAGGCACAATGAGAGGCAGAGCAGAGTGCGGTCCTCAGGATCGGGGAGGAGATGCCGGGAGACAGCTGGTGCGATCGCTGGGCCGGTCGGGAATCCGGAGCACAGGGGCAGAGGCGCCGGGCAGTCCAAGGAGCAGGCAACAGAAACCCGAGGCGCTCAAGCAGGACTCGTGGTCAGGGACAGAAGGCTGAGGTGCTCACCGGGGCGGAGACAGACGAACAGGTCGGGAACAGGCAGGGTCGAAACCGGGAGATCAGTCCAAGGTAGAGTGCTGGAGAGACTTGCATGACGCGAAGAACAATCTGGCAATGACAGGCTGGGTGTGCAGTGCTTATGTAGCGGGGCTGATTGTGAATGCGAAGGAGTTGTGGAAGGCAGGAGAGTGACTGATTGTGGATGCGGGGCAGGTGTGGAAGATCGAGCTGGCAGGTGAGTGTGACATAAACGTTTGAAAAAAAAAAAGTGACATATGAATATTGTCGTGCTTTTTTTACACTACATTACACTACATTACAGGTCATTTAGCTAAAGCTTTTATCCAAAACGACTTACATTGCATTTTTAACCCAAGGCTATTTACATTTTTGCCTGGGGAGCAATTAGGTGTTAGGTGTCTTGCTCAGGGACACTTGGGACACACTTGGGCAGCGCACCCTCTCTACCCCTGCACCACATCAACCCCGGTATTTTACATTACATGTCATTTAGCTGACGCTTTTATCCAAAGCGACTTACAATAAGTGCATTCAACCATAGAGGTACAAACTCAAGAAACAAGAAAGACGTTACAAGTACAATGTAAGTGCTACAATTACGGCGACCTTGGTGAAATACAAGTTTGACTGCAATGCGTTTGTGGTGGCGTGGTTTGGCTCAGCTGCAGAGGGGACGGAGAAGGGAGTGGCTCAGGGAACGGTGCCAGGTGGAGGCATAATTGGCCACAGGTGCAGGAAATCAAGAATTGTTTGTGCCTGTATTTCAGTGGTGGAGATCCGGCGACAGAGGCGAGAGACTCAGCCAGACGAGGAGGCTGGAGGCGGATGTATACTGCGCTGAAGTACAAAATAAAGTTCTTTACCGAAGCTATATGGTGTACACTCGTCATTCCGGGACCCCCCAAGGAGCCACACGTTACAGCGTTGTTGAATAAATATCTTCAACGTTCTGTACAAGGATATTAAACACTTTGTTACTTGTTATAACTGTTGTAGTATTCCATTTGTCTCTCCATCACAAAACTCGTTCCTAATCGACTCGACATTGGAACAATTTTCTTCGGGAACGACACAGACTGCTTTCAGCAATGCTGAGACATGGAAAGAGAAAATAAGTATATACTGTTTTTATCTGAGTGTAGAAAGGCGAGAGTCCAGTGGCAGCATCATCAGCTGGTGGCTGGAGTTGTTTCCTTGTGGAGCTTTCTTTGATTTTCTTCAAAAGAACTTTCTGGATTGCTGCTTATAATAAGCGTTATGAACATCAATGTACCAACATACTTTTGTAACAAATAGCACAACGGCTGAAAAGAGACTGTTTATGCTGCTTCGTGGTTGACAGATTAATAAATGATAACTTACGCTGCCTGGAAGGTGCCTGTTATAATGTAACTTTTTTATAACAAACTAGATAAAAAGTTAATGCCTTCTCAGTGGCAATTAAGTATAACTGCTCTCAGGTAGAGGAAATTCTGCTGTTAAAAGGCACCTTATTTGTTTAAAGTGTTTGTAAACCAGGAACCGGAATCAGGAAACATTTATTGCCATAATACGTCAGACATACAAGGAATTTGACTTGGCGGTTGGTGCGTAACAGCACAGCAACAGTACGACATTGGATGACAAGACAACAGTGCACGAGGAATAAAATAAAATATAATGCTATGGGTTAGTAGTAAAAGGCTATGGGTTGGTTTAAAAATGAAGTAATAAAAGTTAAAAAGTAAAAAATACTTTAAAATGAGTGCACCAGCGAACATAAAGTGACAAGTGAAAGTGACGTGTGCAGTGTGAAAGAAAGTGACCGGTGGAATGTTATAGTCAGTCAGTGGGGGAGCGGCTCTGTTGATGAGCCCGACTGCCGACGAGAAGAAACTGTTGGTGTTGCGGGAGGTCTTAGTCCTGATTGACCTCAGCCTCCTCCCAGATGGAAGGGGCAAAAACAGGTTTTGTCCGGGGTGAGAGGGGTCGGCTACCATCTTTCTAGCTGCATCAGGGTCCTTGAAACGAACAA